AGGAGTTGGAGGTTGCTGTGAGCTGTAATGCCATGGCACTCTACCCAGGGGGACAGCTTGAGGCTCTGTCTCAAAAAAAAAAAAAGAAAAAGAAATACAGCTCTGAAAATGAGGCTCAGTACCAGTAAGGTCAGAATAGCACCAGAAGGTAGGCTGCTTACAGAGTTTAGTTATAGCAAAATTGCTTTCTGGACATTTTGTTACCCATGGCTGTGCAGTGTGGTTTCAAGGAGAACAGCCACATATACCCATTTCTGTCAGAGTGTGGCTTAGTAGACTAGGCATTGGTCTGGAGCATAGGATAACCTGATCCATTTTACCGTCTCTCATTTGGTCCAGACTGCTGCAGGTTGGGTTACTAAAGAACACTGAGATAGCAGAAAGGTAGAGAGAGAGTTGGAACGCAAGGGTAATCTGTAATCCACAGATTAGTCAGTAAGCCTTTGACCGTCCCAAGCCACCTACTCCTAAGTAAAATCAAATTGTTTTATCCTTCTGGAATGTCTTAGATATTGAGTCTCTGGAATGCCACAGATACTGTACTATATAACCCCACCCTCATTCAAAGGTCATGTCTTGATATTTTTGACACAATAAAGAGGTACCAGTTAAACTTTCATTCTTTTAAAGCTAGGTATATAAACAGCATTTGTATGACCTGTGTCCAGGCAAAATGCCCTGCACCCTAGGTAGAAGAGCTGTGTATGTATACTGTCCTTTGGTAGTCCCCGGTACAGTTGCTCTTACCTGTGAACAGGATCCTGGTTCAGGAATCTTCTTCGTAAATTCTATTATAATAATGCCTTATATTTGTAGATAGAATTTTATAATTAATCAAGCATGTGAATATCTTGGTTTGACCCCATAGCTCTTGAGGTAGGTGGGGCAAGGATTATTCCCATTTTCACAGAGGAGAAACTACTGGTGGAACAGAAATCATATAGCTAGTAAATGAATGTGCCAGGGCCTGAACTCAGGTCTCAAAATGCCTAGTTCTCTGTCTTTCCATCATGCCACATGTCTTTGTGTTTAGGGTCCTATGCGTGTGAGTGTGTTTCATGCATATGGGGGAGAATTAATCAAACCTTTTCTAAGACTTAGACCAGTTCAGAAATAGTCTGATATGGCTTATCATATCTATTTAAAGAATGAGTTGAGAAATGTAGCCTGAACACAGCTTACATGGACTTTTCACACCCTTCCTCCCCGGAGTTGACCTCACACACTTAGTTCCAGATTTGTAGCGGGACAGCAGCAGGCCCCAGCCTGCACAGAGGCAGGATACTGTCTTGGATTGAGCAGTGTGGGGAGTGAGACTCAATCAGGAAGCCAGAGATGCAGCTAAGGGGAATCTAGGCCACACATGAGTAATGGATCCTTGTCTCTTAGGCATGAGTGGGTGCAAGGAACTGTAGAGTTCTCTCCTCAGTACATTTGAGAGGGAGCTCCTGTTCAGTGGGTTTTGTAGGAGAGGGTTAGCTTGCTTCTTCCTGAGGAGTTTATTCAGTTGAGGGGGAAAACTATAAACCCATCAGTGCCAGGACCTCTTATGTCTCACATATCCTATCTCCTAACATACATAGCGTAGGGCTGACCGTTTAGTGTGCCCAACAGATACTTGTTGACTAAACTCTGGTCTTCATTGTAACATAAAAGTACCAAAGTACAGATTTTGTCAGACATAGGAGGACCCAATGTGTGAATGAGTGGTAATTAAAACGAGATGCACATTATTTCTTTTATCCACTTGATGCATTGCTGGCTAGCAGCCAAGCCATCTTGATCATAAGGCCTTACTCTGGTGGTTGCAGGGAAATATCCGACCCAGTGACTCTTCTTCCATAGGAGTGGCCCATTGAGTTTTCCCTTTTCTTCCCTATTCAAAGCTCATTTTTTATATATTCTATTTTGAACATATTCAGACATAACCTCTTTAAACCTTTCTCTTCTTCTTCGTCCTTCTTTCTTCTCTCATTGTCCAGGTACTGAGGGAGAATTTTTTCTTCTTTCCTATTCTGTTCTCTGTTCTCTCTCAAACACTGTTCTCCCTTTCTCAAATTTCTGAGTCTTAACTTGGTAGATTAGTAAAAGAATAGTGCTGGTATTATTCTTCCTTTTAGTATCAAGACTAACATTATAGTTAATAAAGAATGAGTTTTTAAAAAAATCTTGAAAATACTCAGAAGACCCTTTTGCAAAGTCAGTATATATTTCCTTTTTATGTTTTAATTAAGCTTTTGCTGAAGCACAGGAAAGAATAAAAGTGCTTTTCATTAAATTTTTTATTTTATTTAATAGTATAAGTACAGCATTAACATGCTACCAGTTTTCATTGCAAACAAAATTTCAGCAGTGCATATTGTGAAACAGAACTTTATGAGCCAACTTAAGGACCCAGTGGAAAAATGTGCACTGTTTCCAGTTTTAGAATGGCCTTTTAAGGCCAGGCGTGGTGGCTCATACCTGTAATCCTGGCACTTTGGGAGGCCGAGGCAAGTGGATTGCCTGAGCTTAGGTGTTTGAGACCAGTCTGAGCCATAGAGAGACCCTGTCCTGTCTCTAAAAGAATAGCCGAGCATTGTGGCAGACATCTGTAGTACCAGCTACTTGGGAGGCTGAGGCAAGAGAATCATTTGAGCCCCAAAATTTGAGATTGCTATGAACTATGATGCTATGGCACTCTACCAAGGGTGACAAAGTGAGATTGTCTCCAAAAAAAAAAAAAAAAAAGAAGAAGAAGAAGAATAACCTTTTGGGCATCACCAATATGTTGTGTGTTCTGGGTCTTTTTAGTCTATTGTGCAGAGGGTGATTTGTTAAGTTCCAAACCAAACTAGGAATAGAAGGTGTCTCTTTGCTTTTATACATATGACTTCTGAACTCTGATGTGTTTGTCCCACAGGAAAAGCTTTTGACATCACCTATGTTCGTCTCAAGTTTCATACAAGCCGCCCAGAAAGCTTTGCCATTTACAAGCGCACGAGGGAAGACGGGCCCTGGATTCCTTACCAGTACTACAGCGGTTCCTGTGAGAACACCTACTCAAAGGCAAACCGTGGCTTCATCAGGACAGGAGGGGACGAGCAGCAGGCCTTGTGCACTGATGAATTCAGTGACATTTCTCCCCTTACAGGAGGCAATGTGGCCTTTTCCACCCTAGAAGGAAGGCCCAGTGCCTACAACTTTGACAATAGCCCGGTGCTGCAGGTAGGCTCTCTCAGGCTGACTTGGAGCCAGTTAGTTCTGCTGCACACTTGGTGCGGGGAAGTTATTGCACAGGGGCCTGCAGTCCCACTTCTGAGGTGTGGGGATCAGAGTGAGGTCTACTTCAGCAGCACAGACAGCTGGAGTTCATTCTGCTCTCCTGGGTACTGTTACAAGGTGAAAGAAAGCAAAGTCATTTTGTTCCTACTGCCTGGATGATGTTTGTTCTTATTTTCTTACCCTCTTACAAATGTATCCTGGGATAGAAACTTCACAATTTTTTTAAAAAGTTGAATGATTTTAACTTTAATCTTGGTACTTAAGGTTGAAACATTTTGCTTCTAACCTTTTGAAGAGGGTGTTTGACCTAATCTACCCTGTTTTCTTCCTCCTTACTTCCTCTTTGACTTGACAAAATAAAAATATTTTCTAAAATTAGCAAGGAGGAACAATTGAAGCAAGATATTGAAGAATGCCAACTTACTTCATTAGTACACAAGGAAATTTTGGTTGGGTTTTTGTGGCAATGTTATCAAATCATTATGAAGACTCCTCATTACCCAAAACGATGTGTGTGAGTGACAGGGTATTATTTAAGTACCCATGGTATTGTGTTTAAGTATCATGATAGAAACCATTCCTTATTGAACAATAGAAAGAATTAAAGATTCCCTTTTTCTCTTGAATTTTATATGCATATTCTTTATACACCATAACAGAATTTTTATAGATTGCTAAGATGTCTGTAAGCTTTTCATATGGAACAACTAATGAGTCTCATGACACATTCAACACATTAACACAGAACTGGAGACACTGCTGTCATGTGGCTAAACTCATTATCTAAATGGGCAAAATCTATACTGATTGACTGAGATAAGACTGGATATGGGTTTTCAGATGTTAGTTCATTAGCTGTAAAGCATTTGCAGTTTCTAGATTGGGAATCCCTCATATTTGGGGCTTTTCTCCTCTTTGTATCTTCTTGTTCTTTCTCTCTGAAATTTATTATGTTCAAGGACTGTTTTTCTAATTTATTATTATGTTCAAGGACTGTTTTTCTAATTTGGCTGTATTGTTTTGGATAGTAGCAAAGGATGAGAATATATTTATCTGTGGGTCCAGTTCCTGCCCTCCATTGTATTTCTGTATGTTGCTAGAAGGTTATGAGTTTGCAATTACTCAGTAAACTCTGAGGTTGTGGTGAGTGGCGAGTGTGTTAAGGCCTATCAGAAAAGTGTTTCTTGCAATGGAGATAAAGCCATGTTCAAAATAAGTGGCATAAAGAATGGCAGATTTTTATAGGTTAAAAAGCAGATGATCGAGTGCCCTGGGGAGAGGTGATCAGCAAATACTACTCTTTAAGTTGACTAGCCAGCAAACATTTGCTAGCCTTGTTTCTTTCAGCAGAAAATTACTGTATTTTCCTGTCTGGAGATGCAAAAGCGTAGTCAGTGGGAAAGAGTGGTGGTTCAAAGTTGTGACTAGTTTTCTGTCACTGATCAGCCTGTCTTGAGCAGTTTCCCATCTGTAAGAATTCTGATGTTTGCTGCTCTTTATGCTATAGAAACTAATGAGACTGCATGTGGTAAAAATGCTGCATAGATTTGGTCAGTTGTTTTCATTGTGCATTAACATTAATTATGTGTCTCTGGATATAAGAGCCCTGGCTCTGATATCCAGTTGCCAAGGGGGTTGAACTGATTTGACTTTTAGCTGATCTGACAGTGAGAAGAGGCGGGAGAGAGGGTGGCGTCCTTCTTTCTCTTTGTTCCATTGGCCTCCTTCCAGAAGCTGCAATCTCCTAGGAGAGGGAGGAGACCCTCACTATATATGAGTAATGTATTTATTTATAATAAAAATAGTAAGCATTTATTATTATCCTTACTGTAGTGTGCTGTAATGTGACAAGCACTGTTCTAAGCCTTTTAAGTATAGTAACTCATTTCATCCTCACAGTAACTCTGTAAGGTAGATACTTTTATTATTTACATTTTATACATGTCGTTTAGAAATCAGAGGCTCAGAAAGGATATAACTTGTCTTAAATCACACGTTTTAAGTGGCAGAACTGATATTCAAAAAGAAGTCTAGCCCCATGTTCTGTTCTTAAGATGCCCATTATGAAAACAATGGTTTACCTTCAGCCTTTGAGTTTCTTTCAAGGATAGTTATGATAAAGATAAAGCCTATAGAAGATACAATAAGCATTAAAAACAGAGATATGATTAGCTATTTATAGATGACTAAAAGATTCCTACTGTTGTGGCCGTGAGTGGGAGCTGTTGTTGGAGTTCCAAGTTTGGATTCAGTGAAATCATTGTCTCTTCTCCTTTCTAAGTATACTTGAAAACTGCATGAAGATTAGCTTTTATGAGCTCTCCATTGTGTTCTATCTGCCATATGTTTTGCATGGTTTAAGGCAGTGATTCTTAATCAAGCACGTGCCTCCCAGTCTCAGGTGGAGCCTTCTGAAAACGCAGATGTCTGCACCTCTGCAGCTGCTTGTTAGTCTCTGAAGGTGATTCTGACTTAAAATGAGAATGGTATCTTTGAGTGGTTATGTGTAATACACTACCCCAAAACTTAGTGGTTTGAACCATGGTGTGTTACTTCTCATAATTCAGTGTTAGCCTGGGCTCACTAACCTCAAAGGTCAGCTCTCTCCCTGCATCTTCCATCCTCAGGTGGCTAGGCCAGGCTTCTTTATATTATGACACAAGTTTTCCAAGAGGGTGAGAGTCCCCATGCACAAGCACACCAGGCCTCTGCTTGTGTCATGTTTGTTGATGTCCCCTTAAGCAAAACGAGTCACAACTCAAGCCTAGAGTCAGCATGGGAAGGGCCTACACAGGGTGTGGACCCTGGCAGACATGATTCATTGGGATCATTATTATTACAATCTACCACACATGCAATCATCTTACTAAAATTAGCTCAATGAAAAGGCTTAGATCTTATAAAACCTAGGGAAAGACTATACAACCCCCATTCCTGTCCTCTGCCATCGTGATATACCTACCAATGTGAGCAGTGTGGTTTCTTCAGATTCATCATTCACTCAACAAATATTATTTGCACACCTATTATATGCTAAACACTAGGGAAACCTCAATGCAAAACAGACGAGAATTTCCTACCCTCATGGTGCTTATATAGCAACTGGAGAGGGGAAAGTACCTGTGGAAACAGACGACATAAATAAAGCAGGGAAGGGAAATAAGGATTTGGGAAGGATAATAATTTTAGATGGGGCTGCCAGGCAAGGCCTCACAGAGAAAGTGATATGTGGGAAGGGTCCCGACAAAAACAGACTACATCTGATTGGTTCAGGCTAGTGTCCTTGAGTATCTCCCCTAGATGTGTCAGTGGGGGATTGGGTCCGCAGGGAGGGATAGATGTTACAAAACAGACATGACCAATATAATGTAAGCGTGGTGTTCCATGAGCTCTGAGCTGGCTCTCTGACTGGGTGTGGGGTGTGGGTACAGGATGGAGAGACAGGATGTGTGTACTGGGTACCTAATGTGTGCTAGGCATTATATGTATATTTCCTGAAACCTCTCAGCAGCCTTTTGAAGAAACTGGTATCATCCTTGCTTTTTGAGACTTTCAGTAGTAAAGTAATAACTTAGATCTAAGAAAGGAGGAGTTAAAGAGGAGAAAAACATTAGAAAATTAAAGAAGTTATTGAATATTATAGTAGATGTAGTGCTAGAAGAGGACATAGATTAAATGATAAATTAACTAGAGCATTTTTTCACATTTATGTCTCTTCACTCCTACTTCTGTTTTATGTTTCTGTTTCTGCTTCCTGACAGGAATGGGTAACTGCCACTGACATCAGAGTGACTCTCAATCGCCTGAACACTTTTGGAGATGAAGTGTTTAATGACCCCAAAGTTCTCAAGTCCTATTATTATGCAATCTCTGATTTTGCTGTGGGTGGCAGGTAAGAAAACTATTGAATTAACCTTAAAATTTATGGGAGCTTTCATATACAAAGACTTTTAAAAAAAATTTGGGGTTCATAGGGTACATATAATTAGGTTACATTGTTTGCATTTCTAAGGTAAAGTCCAAGTTGTAGCAGAGTCCTTCACCCAGGAAGTATCCCATATACTGGTATATTATACCCATTAGGTGGGAACTTACTAAGTCCTTCCTTCCCCCTTCTTGAATTTAATTGTGTTTTTCTCTCATATGAGCCTATAGTTGTTAATCTGCTCATTTCAACTTAGTATTGAGTACGTGGGATGCTTGATTTTCCATTCTTGAAATACCTTACTTAGCAGAGTATTCTCCAAACCCATCCAGGTAAATACAGAAGATGCAAAGTCTCCATCTTTTTATGGCTGAATAGTGTTCCATGGTGTACATAGTTTATTAGTCCATTCACGAGTTATTGGATACTAGGGTTATTACCACATCTTGATGATTGTGACTTGAGCTGCTTTAAATATTTGAGTGCAAATGTCCTTATGGTAAAATGATTTTTTTTCTTCTGAATAGAACCTAGTAATAGGATTGCAGGATCACATGGAAGGTCTATTTTTGCCTCTTTGAGGATTCTCCATACTTCTTTCCAAAAAAGCTGTATTAGTTTGCATTCCCACCAGTAGCATATAAATGTTCCTCTCTCTTCACACCCATGCCAGCATCTGCAGCTTTGGGACCTTGTGATATAGACTGTTCTCACTGGGGTTAGGTGATATCTCTAAGCAGCTTCGATGTGGGTTTCTCTGATGATTGAAGACAATGAGTATTTTTCCATGTGTCTCTTGGCCGTTCGTCTGTTCTCTGGGGAAAAGGTTCTGTTCACGTCTCTTGCCCATTGATTTAATGGGATTGTTTGCTCTTTCCTTGTGATTTGCTTGAGTCCTTTGTAGATTCTGGTTATTAGCCCTTTGTCAGATTCATAGCCTGGGAATATCTTTTCTCATTCTGAAAGTTGTCTATTTGCTTTGCTTATTGTGTTCTTAGCTGTGCAGAAGCTGTTTAGCTTAATCAGGTCCCATTTATTTATTTTTAATGTTGCTTCAGTTGCTGCTGGAGTCTTCTTCATAAATTCTTTCTCTATGTTGATATTGTTAAGAGTTTTTCCCATGCTTTCTTCAAGAGTTTTTATAGTTTCATCTCTCAGATTTACATCTTTTATCCAGCATGAGTTAATCTTTGTAAATGGTGAGAGGTACAGATTCAGTTTCACTCTTTTGCGTGTGGCTAACCATTCTCCCAGCACGATTTATTAAATAAGGATTCTTTTCCCTAGTGTATTCTTTGGTTTGGTTTGTCAAAGATCAGATGGTGACACGAGACTGGCTTCATCTCTAGGTTTTCTATTCTGTACCACAGATTGGTAGACTTTTTCTTTACCAAGGGTAGGAGTGACAGTCCTTATTGAGTAATAATGTATATCTGGAAACTAAGCAATTAGGTTTTTCAAAACTTTGTCAAATCAACACACTTAGTGAATTTTTATTGACTGTTCAAGTGCAAAGCTCCATGATAGGCACTGTGAAGTTACCAAGGAAAGGCAAGACTGACTCTCTGTGGAGCCCTGAGAGTCTTGGATCTCAAAAATGAATAGTATAGTCGATGGTTGAGTATGTGAAAATTGAAATACTAGTATAGTCACATGTTTTAAATAAAAAGATCAAGCAGCAATAGAAAAGATACCACATATCAAGAATGATACAGAAATATCAGAAGCAGATGAGATCTGAGCTGGAGGCTTAAAGAATAGGTAGGATTCGAATAAGGAAAAGAAGGTATCTGGGTTGGGTGCAAGAGCATGGGCATGTCATGAACGAAAGTTTAGAGATGGGAGAGTATAAACTTACTTGACATAACCAAAATCTTTGTATGAATTTGTAGAGTTTGTAAATGCAAAGATAATTTGATGACCAGAGTCTTAGACAAGCTTAGACTTAGCTCCCCTATGTTAGACTTTGGGGTCTCAAAAGCTTGTGTTGTTTTTGGTATGGGATTGATGCTCAGTGAAAGTTGATGGGAATGTCAATGAAAAATAAGGCACAATTTTTGGAATAGAGCTGTGATACCAAAACAGTGGATTAGGAAGATTAGTGTATAAGCAGGGTGAAAGTAGAGTGCAGTGAGAGAAATCATATTCCCATTATGATGCTGTCTGCATGTTAGGTGACAAACCCCTAAGGTCACTCTGGAGACAGCAAAATGGAAGGAGACATATTGGTTGCATTTTATCGTGAAGGAAGAATTATCAGAACTTTAGTCAAACATGATTTTAAGGTTTAGTTATTAGGAGTTTAGTTTAGTTTAGTCAAACATGATTTTAAGGTTTAGTTATCATGATTTTAAGGTTTACTTATTCACAGTAAGTAAAGATAAGCTAATTTGGGAAAGTTGATGGGTGTAGTTGGTAGACAGGAAAAATTTTAGGCCTTAGGGGTCATCTAAGTTTGTACAGCAAAGATAAGAGCTTTGGAGAAGGATGAGAGCTGGAGATCTAAATTTGGGACTCACTCTGACACACAATATATCAGTGGTTCTCAACCTGAGGGTCATGACCCCTTTGTGGGTCTCCTACATATCAAATATTTACATTATGATTCATAATAGTAGCAAAATTACAGTTAAGAAGTAGCAACGAAAACAGTTTTATGGTTGGGGTTCACCACAACATGAGGAACTAATTAAAGGTCACAGCATTAGGAAGGTTGAGAACAATTGCAATAGATGATTCTGAAGTGTTTTAATATTAATTGGTAGTGAACCCATGAAACTGATTGCTGTCTTTAAGGAAGTAACTGAGGGAACACATCACAGCTCTGCCATCCTGAGCACATAAATAAAGCAACTCCTTGATCTTCCCTTCCGTAACCTTACGAAATTGGCATATTATCATTATTCCAGTTTTACAGGTGAGGCACAGGGGTTGAGTTACACTGCTAAGTGATGTGGCAGGGTTTCAAACCCAGGCATCCTGGCTTTAGGTATACACTTTCCTAAACCACCACTCTCTTCTTCTTGACACACATTTTAACTTCAGGAAATAATCCTGTAGATACCCTCAGAAATTGTTTGGGGCTGTCTTTTCATGTCTGGCTAATACCCCAGCTTGTTAAATAAAGCTACCTTTTTGTTTGTTTAATTTTTCTTTATTCCTGGAATTCAAACTGTCATTACTTAACCTTGCTCAGTTCTTGAGTTGACATGAATGGTGAAACTCAAAAATGTTCTTAGACTGTTTTTAGTTCTCTGTGTACCTAGTTTGTCTACATGCATTCCTGGGACTTTACGGCAGTTCCATTCTTTGGCATGTCTCTTCTCTCCCCAGATGTAAATGTAACGGACATGCAAGCGAGTGTATAAAGAACGAATTCGACAAGCTGGTGTGTAACTGCAAACATAATACGTATGGAGTAGACTGTGAAAAGTGTCTTCCTTTCTTCAATGATCGGCCATGGAGGAGAGCAACGGCTGAAAGTGCCAGCGAATGCCTGCGTGAGTGCCCCTTGGTGTCACTGTGCTCTGTTGTCTTGAGGACTTTTGAGGGTGAAAAAAGGAATGGGTGCCTTCTTTATTCTTCCTGGAAAAGAAGGCTCCAAAGGCCATGCTTTCTTCCCATAATTTGAGAAAGTAGAATAGTCAGCTAGCACGCATATCAGAGGAAGATCGTAAAAGAAGGCAGCAGGCTGTTAAGGCCAACTGGGCTGGTTTTGTGTTTCCATCATGAACACATATGCCAGAGTGTGAACAGTGTCTTTAAGATTTGGAAATCTGCTTAGATCCAAATTCTGTGTTAGTACAGCCTCTTCTAGAAAATGGTTTCTCTAGTCTGGTCTTTGTTGCCTTTTAAAGTATTCTTTTTCTCACCCATGCTCATTTACTGAGGCAGCCATGGTCATTGATTATCAAGTGTCACATACAATGAGCTCTAGCCTTAGGCTGCCATTCAAAAGGTCATTTCTCAAAATTATTTTTCCTTTATCTTTAAAGAGTGAAGTAGGAAGAATTTCCCACTCTCTCTTGGAGAGGTTGGGTGACTTTGGGAGGAAGAGTATGTCCTCAGATTCCTGGAAAAGAGTAAAATGAAAAAATTAAGACATTATTTATCCCTTTATAATGCCATGGTTTATTCTGAAGAGATAAACAAATTTCAGGAGAAAGAAACCGTGTAATCATGATTTGCCAAAGAACTTAACGATAAAACTTTTAAAGCAGCTGTAAGTTTCTTATGTTCTTACAAATATTCCTATTGTACTATCTTGGAAATAAAAGAGTAAGAGAGAACATACTCTGAACTTGCACAAATTATTGGCAGAAACCTTGAGAACAAACCAATATTTTGATTGCTGGTTATTTCCACTGAGCTGCCTAGAACAGATTTCCTTATTCATCTTTTTTTTTCTTCAACAAATCTTAGATTTGCAAATAAAATTTATAGCCTCCTCTGGCATTTATAAACCCTTGCTTGAGCTTCTTTAATTCTATTACTGAAATGTAATATTCAGTGTTAGATTAGAATCCATATGATAAATAATGGTTAAAAAAAAAATGAAGTACTCCTAAGGTGTGGCATCTAACTAAATGGACATGTGTGCTGAAAAGTTTTCTGCTTAATGATGTCATATTTTGAGTCTGTCCAGAAATTACTAGAAAAACAAATACTGCCAGCTTACCAATAGCAAATGACCTGGGCACTGTAGTTGAAGGACTTTGATGAGGAACCAAGTCAATCTCCTTTTTTTGAGACAGAGCCTCAAGCTGTCCCCCTGGGTAGAGTGCCATGGCATTACAGCTCACAGCAACCTCCAACTCCTGGTCTCAAGCGAGTCTCCTGCCTCTGCCTCCCAAGTAGCTGGGACCACAGGTGCCCGCCACAATGCCTGGTCATTTTTTGGTTGCAGCCATCATTGTTGTTTGGCGGGCCCGGGCTGGATTCGAACCCGCCACCTTAGGTGTATGTGGCTGACGCCTTAGCCAGTTGAGCCAGAGGCGCCGAGCCTAAACTCTTGAGCTTAAGTGATTCTCTTGCCTCAGTGTCCTAAGTAGCTCGGACTACAGGTGCCCACCACAATTCCCGGCTATTTTGTTGCTGTTGTTGTTATTGTTGTTGTAGCTGTTTAGCTGGCCCTGGCCAGGTTTGAACCCGCTACCCTTGATATATGTGGGTGGCGCCATAACCACTGTGCTATGGGTGCCAAGCCTCCTTGGTCCTTTCAGCTTTGTGATGCCTCCAGGAGCGAAGTGTCAGGATGTCGTGGCAATATCACATTTTTGTCAGGATGCTGGGCAAGGGGAAAGGAAATTACAGCTGCCTTCTCTTGGGGGGGGGGGCAGTATCTCTTTTATTTTTTACTTTTTATGTTTTTTCGGGTTTTTTTTGGCTGGGGCTGGGTTTGAACCTACCACCTCTGGCATATGGGGTCAGCGCCCTATTCCTTTGAGACACAGGCGCCGCCCACACTGTGTGATTGGAACTGTGTAGATCTGGGAATTGTTCAGACCATTCAGGTGGGCTGGGTAGATGAGGAATAATTTAGGGCAGCTTGAGGGAGGAAAAACAGCTCTTGAAGAAGGGTAAGGGTTGTTTGTCAAAACCTAATTTTTGGTGCTAGTAACTCAGGCTTTTAAAATTTTTACTTATGCTGTACTAATTCAAATTCTTTTTGAAAAGTTTTAAATTATGCTATAAATGAAAGGGAGAAAAAACAAAAGAAAACTTGCATATTCAAATATTTTTTAAAAGTAAATGTCCTGTTGTGTCTGAAACCAAATACAAATTACTTTTTATTTAGTGCTCAAAATACTGTCCATATTTTGTGCAGAAACAATAATTATGGGGAAAACATTATAATATAAATATAGTAAAGAATTAGGGCAGCACCTGTGGCTCAAAGGACTAGGGTGCTGGCCACATATGCCGGAGGTGGTGGGTTCAAACCCAGCCCCAGCCAAAAACTGAAAAAAAAAAAAACAAACCCAAAAAACCAAAGAATTAACTGTGACCACATTTACTTGTTCTGAAAATATGGTTGTGCCCCATAGGGAATATAGTCACTCAACACTTGACCCAATTGGGATTGTGGCTCCTGAGTAAATAGGTAGATCTGGAACATCTAGATTTCCATTTATGTCTGTTTCCATCTACAGAGGCATTAATTTTAACTCACGTGCCTCATATTACTCTAGTCTGAACATGCAAGTAATCTGGCACTTTGAAAGTTAGGATGTTAAGGTATTTGAATCCTATGAGTCCTAAAAAGTTAAGTTAAATTAAAGCCTGCTTATAAAATAGCACCTTGTTCTTGGAGTTGATACTGGAATGAAGGAGAAAGATTTGGAAAAATTGTAATTTGACTTGGCTTTTACTTGTATATGAACAACTACCTGGAAAGCAGATTGTTTTCTAAGTATAGGAATTCCTTGTATTATGATGGTACTATATTTTATAATGAGGAACATTTCTTAGTAAACTGATAATCTGGCTGCATAAACCCTTTGTTGACATAATGTTGTTTTGGTTTTTATTCTTAACAAATAGTATACTTGGTGGTCATTCTTCCACCATCTATCTGTCTCCAAGATGTAGGGAATCATGGTTTGGTCTTCTGTTAGTGTTTTAAAATGCTGTCCTTAAAGGAACATGGATCTGACATAACTCATATGTTTTGGCCAACAGCCTGTGACTGCAATGGCCGATCACAGGAATGCTACTTCGACCCTGAACTATACCGTTCCACTGGCCATGGTGGCCACTGCACCAACTGCCGAGATAACACAGATGGCGCCAACTGTGACAGGTGCCGAGAGAACTTCTTCCGCCTTGGGAACAATGAAGCCTGCTCTCCATGCCACTGTAGTCCTGTTGGTAAGTGATGGGAAAATGAATTGAAATATAAAATGAGTTCTCTCTGCCTCTCCACCCCAAGAAAATAAAGCTTTGTTTCCTGGCATTCGCATAGCCATGTGGTGAGGTGTGTATATTATTGTAACATATAAATGATTCAGATCTGCCTCACACTTCCACTCTCCTTAATGTTGAACTTTCAGATTTTCGGGTGTATATAAAAGTGTGCGTGTGTTGTTGTATGTGTGGAGGGGATGCTGAGTAATGGTTCTATAAATAATTAGCAACCAGGTCATAGAGACTCTTTGAACTTTGATTATAAAAAGTTAGCTGTTTGGGAGTTCTTCCTTGTTAATGATTTTGTTTAGTCTAATCTCCTTAGAGGGCTGAGCCATTTTCATGTGTTAGCATGTGTCCAGAGATGCACAGCATTCTGAGTCCACACCATTCTATTCTTTTTTTTTTTTTTTTTTGAGACAGAGCCTCAAGCTGTCCCCCTGGGTAGAGTGCCGTGGCATTACAGCTCACAGCAACCTCCAACTCCTGGGCTCAAGCGAGTCTCCTGCCTCTGCCTCCCAAGTAGCTGGGACCACAGGCGCCCGCCACAACGCCTGGCTATTTTTTGGTTGCAGCCATCATTGTTGTTTGGCGGGTCCGGGCTGGGGATTCGAACCCGCCACCTTAGGTGTACGTGGCTGGCGCCTTAGCCGGTTGAGCTATAGGCGCCGAGCCCACCATTCTATTCTTTTAAGAATTTGACCTTTATTTTTGTTGTTTGGGCTTGTGTACATTTAAATTCTAGATATGGTTTTCACAAGCTATGCTGGCTCATAGAGAAGTGACTGGTCTTGTGTGCAGTGTACTGTTGGATGCCGAATGATTTGTGTTTTTCATCATTAATGACTAGATTCGTCTTAGAGTCTATCTGGAAAATTAAAATATGGCTTGAAAGAGTTTGATTTTGAGAGCATTCTGATTTTAAATTTGATCTTTATTCCTTCTGTTGCCATCTAGAGATTACATATTGGTTCTCAGGCATTGCATTTAGTTACCGATCATCTTTCTTCCATATATTGATTTAATTTTCATATCTGTCTGGATTTGTGGTTGACAGTGAGCTCTTTAAATTGTAGGTTCTCTGAGCACACAGTGTGATAGTTATGGCAGATGCAGCTGTAAGCCGGGAGTGATGGGGGACAAGTGTGACCGTTGCCAACCTGGATTCCATTCTCTCACTGAGGCAGGATGCAGGTAAATGTTTTCAAGACCAGAAGAAGGACTTTGAGCTCAATTTATAATACCAGATCTTGTGGTTTAGTGAACATTTTACCCATAACAGTTGTTAGCAAGATTCAAGACTAGTTGTAATGATGTCTGAGGGGTTTGGTTTTATCTTAGACTGAAACTAAGTCCAAAAGTAAAAATGACTTTAGAATTCATTTGGTTCTATATGTGTTTGCTTTTTAAAATCAACATGTAAAACAAAAGCTTGACTTTAAGAATGAAATTTCTTTTCTCTCTTCTCTGTTTTATTCCATTTTCCATTGAATAGGCCATGCTCTTGTAATCCCTCTGGCAGCATAGATGAATGCAATGTTGAAACAGGAAGATGCGTTTGCAAAGACAATGTGGAAGGCTTTAATTGTGAAAGGTAGCCCATTCTTCTCTCTGGCTGTATTATATTTTTCTCTGTTATCATATTTCGAGTTAAAGTAACTGATTGTGTCTTAATCTTTTTTAGATGCAAACCTGGATATTTTAATCTGGAGTCATCTAATCCTAGGGGTTGTACACCCTGCTTCTGCTTTGGGCATTCTTCTGTGTGTACAAATGCCATCGGCTACAGTGTTTATTCTATCTCCTCTACCTTTCAGATTGGTAATTTTGACCTCATCTCCCAAACCCCTAGAGCTGTGAAACTGACTCTCTCTCTCTCTCTATGTGTATATATATATATATATACACACATATACACACACACATATATTTAGACAGTAGCTCTTTGAGGGCTTTTTGATGGTGGTACTACTTATTATTTAATATGCATATTTTTTCTTGTTTGGCCTTTTAATTTAATGAAAACACTTATGGTTTTAGAATTTACCATAATGAATACTGAATACAAATGTTATATAAATAGTAATAATGTCAAAACAGCTTGAGGGGTATAGCCTATATAGGGAGTGTTGTAGGGTTCATTTATTCAAAAACTTTTATTGGTGACTTTCTGCACACAGGTGTGTGATCTTACACATTTTTGTGGTATATAGAGTACCTGCATTCAAGATGTTTACAGTGTAACAGTGCTTATGTTTTTATCGTCTGCCTGCAGATGAGGACGGGTGGCGTGTGGAACAAAGAGATGGCTCTGAAGCATCTCTTGAGTGGTCCTCTGAGAGGCAAGATATTGCTGTGATCTCAGATAGCTACTTTCCTAGATACTTCATTGCTCCCGGTGAGTAAGGCTAGAAAATACTCTGATTTACTGTGTACTTCCGTTTAGTCTCAAATCTCACATTCTTGTCCCTCATGGATCTGCATTTCAGCAAAGTTCTTGGGCAAACAGCTATTGAGTTATGGTCAGAACCTCACCTTCTCCTTTCGAGTGGACAGACGAGATACCCGCCTCTCTGCTGAAGACCTTGTGCTTGAGGGAGCTGGCTTAAGAGTATCTGTGCCTTTGATTGCTCAGGGTAATTCCTACCCAAGTGAGACCACTGTGAAATATGTCTTCAGGTAAGATAGCCTTCTTTGTAAAATCAGATGCAACCAGCATTCTGAACTTTTTTTTTTTAATCTAAGCTTATCTGGCCTCAAGTTGTATATATTTTTTTTTTTAAAGAATCTTTTTTTTAATTAATTAATTTTTTTTTGAGACAGAGCCTCAGGCTGTTGCCCTGGGTAGAGTGCTGTGACATCACAGCTCATAGCAACCTCCAACTCCTGGGCTTAAGCAGTTCTCTTGCTTCATCCTCCCAAGTAGCAGGGTGTACAGGCGCCCACCACAACGCTTGGCTATTTTTTTGGTTGTAGTTGTCATTGTTGTTTGGCAGGCCCAGGCTGGATTCGAACCCTCCAGCTCTGGTATATGTGGTTTGCGCCTTAGCTGCTTGAGCTATAGGCATGAAGCCATCAAGTTGTGTATGCTAAGAAAAACTTCTGGCTTGGTGCCTGTGGCTCAAGTGGCTAAGGTGCCAGCCACATACACCTAAGGTGGCGGATTCGAAGCCCAGACCCGCCAAACAACAATGACAGCTGCAACCAAAAAATAGCCAGGCATTGTGGCGGGCACCTGTGGTCCCAGCTACTTGGGAGGCTGAGGCAGGAGACTCACTTGAGCCCAGGAGTTGGAGGTTGCTGTGAGCTGTGATGCCACAGCACTCTACCCAGGGGGATAGCTTGAGGCTCTGTCTCAAAAAAAAAAAAGAAAGAAAGAAAGAAAAAGAAAAACATCTACCAAAAAAAGAAAGAAGGAAGAGAAGAATGGAGGAAAGGAAGAAAGAAAAGAAAGACTTCTGGGTTACCATGGTGACTTTGTAAAAGGAAGCCTTCCTTTGTTTATTTGTACCTTTTCCAGTTGTACTATCAAATCAGTAGTCTCATTTTTTATTTGACTAGATTGTCAGCATTGCATTGTTGGTAGCATTAGTGAATAAGAAATGCTTTCTCAGCATCCAGAATAATCCTTACAAAGGTTACTGTGGCCCTTTCTTTCTCTCCAGGCTCCATGAAGCAACAGATTACCCCTGGAGACCTACTCTTACCCCTTTTGAATTTCAGAAGCTCCTAAACAATTTGACATCTATCAAGATCCGTGGGACATATAGCGAGAGAAGTAAGTTGTAATATAATTTAGAGAGTTATTTAAGAAGATGATTAGTTAGAACAATCTGTGATAATGCAGAAGTTTCTCTCTTGTAATAAAGTAACATGGAGAAGTGTGTAAAAGACCACATTATATATCAATTATATATAAAAACAATGCATTTTTTAACTACTTTCAAGGACCCAGTGGAAAAATTTGCTAGCATTAGTAAATAGTATCGTTTTATAATTAATAAGCTAATTGAGGTTACATTGTATATAATTATAATTCTACTGGTTCAGGTTGCTTATTTTCATTTATTTTTATTTTCTGCTATGAAATAACCAGGCCATTTGAACTATTGGCTAAATTATTAAAAACGATAAATTATTGAATCAACATTTGTTATAATTTTAGGTGAACAGGCTTTTAAAAGTCATTAAAATTTTTTCTCTTTTAAAAATTTTTTAGAATGAGGACCTTTTTTTTAATCTATAGCTGTTTGGGGAGTTGACGTCACAATGTTGGCATGGCATTAGAGTGGCCTCGGCAGCTGGGATGTGTTGACTTTGGAGAGTCCTGCATGAATATCCAGATTGAAATGTCTCATGAACAGTTAGAAATATGGATCTGGGGCTTAGAAAGAGATTAGGAGTAGAGGTCTAGGTTTAGAAGGTTGTCAACATATGGGCAATAATTTATAAACTTGGAAATATGACAGAAGATATAAAAGGAGAAAGAGGATGGAATCCTGGAAGCATAGTCAAGGTCTATGCCTTGTGACCCAAAGAAGAAAAATAATTCTAAGGAAGAAAAACAAAAGGTTTAGGAAAATAACACCATTGGGTTTTGGATGGTGTGATTTAGGAATCATTGGTGAGTTTTTGTTTTTTTCTTTTTAAAGAAGTATTGAAACTGAAATTAGATTGCAGTACTTTAAAAGGTAATTTGAAGGTTAATAAAAAAGAAATAACATTCTTTTAAGAAGTTTGGCTATAGAGAAAGAAAAGAGATTTGAGAGTAGGAACAAGATTAAAGGAGTATTTTTAGGATGGGGAATGTTTAGAGTTGGAAATACATTAACTAGTAAAGACATAAATCCTGATCTCACTGGGCAAAAAGTCCAGAAACATATTAGAAGATAGCTTTAAGGCAATAATAGAAGAGATGTCCTTCAGCCTTAGGTGGTCAGCCTTCTAATTCTGTACACACCAAGTAGTATTTCATAACATGGGGAAAGATACACCTTAAGCATTAGACTGGAAGAGACCAGGAAAACATGGTGATGGTATTGAGGTCTGCCTCTCCCATGGAATGTTTCCACTTATGTATCGAGGGCACCACTGGCTTGAAGGAACCATTGATCTAAGCAAACCTAAAGTTTCCTCTGTTACAGAAATGGGAAGGCACTGTGACGTATGGGTAAAGGTTTTGGAATAACTGAATTTTGTAAGAAATAGCCCTGGGTATTAGAACTTATTTTTTGCTGTTTTGTGGAGGGCAAAAAATATAACCTGAGTATTACCTTTTGACTTTTCCTTCTTCCTTATCATTGAACTCTCTAAGTGTCTGCTTTTCTGGCGAAAGAACAAAAACACTGGTTTTAATGGCTATAGACTTACACTCTTCTTTTCCCCTACACTCTTATTCATTTCTCTTTTTGCCCCAAATGATTGTCCAGTGCTTTTTATTTTCACATTGGTAACTGGGAGAACTGTAAAATCTGACAAATCACTGTGTGTATGAAAATATAAGTTTGCTATATCACTGCTGCAGATACTTAGCACATGGCACCGCATGATTGTTCTAAATGCTCTTTTCTTACTACTTTCTCCAACAGGTGAATTAAGCTAATGTCTGGAATTTCATCTAATTCTCTGGAATTGTGGTCTGGCTACTTTTTAGTGTTACTGACTTTTCACAAGATTTTGGAAAACAACCCAGTTTAGTGCATTTCTTTTCCATGCTGACACAGGTGCTGGATATTTGGATGATGTTACACTGACAAGTGCTCGCCCTGGGCCTGGGGTCCCTGCAACTTGGGTGGAGTCCTGCACCTGTCCAGTGGGATATGGAGGGCAGTTTTGTGAGATGTGCCTCTCGGGTTATAGAAGAGAAACTCCGAGCCTTGGACCATACAGTCCATGTGTGCTGTGTGTCTGCAATGGACACAGTGAGACCTGTGACCCTGAGACAGGTGAGGTGATCTTTGGCAGTTGCTGGACCTGACTCTTTAGCAATTGGGTAGGAAAAGCTCATTGTCTTGTTTATTTATACATTTGCCTGATCTCTCACACTTCCTCTCCAAATAGGTGTTTGTAACTGCAGAGACAATACAGCTGGGCCCCACTGTGAGAAGTGTAATGATGGTTACTATGGAGATTCAACTGTGGGCACCACCTCTGATTGTCAACCCTGTCCATGTCCTGGGGGCTCAAGTTGTGCTGTTGTCCCCAAGACAAAGGAGGTGGTGTGCACCAACTGTCCTACTGGCACCACTGGTATGTCTGCTCTTGTCATCTACTTTTAGCATTCCATCCTACAAAAAGACCTGGGGCAAAGGGTTTTGGGGGTTTTTTAGTTTTTGTTTGGTTTAGTGATTACAGGTTTCGTAGGCAAAAGTTTATAGGAAACAGGTTAATTATGGATTCATCAAATGCTTATCATTTAATAATAGCTGATCCGAATTGAGTATTTGTGGCCAGGTACCATTCTAAGCACTTTACATGTACTGCCTCATGAATCCTTATGAGGTAAGTTCTGCTTTTATTCCCACCTAAGGAAACTGAGGCACAGGGATGTTACATTAATTGTTTAAGGCTTCAAGGCTAGTCATTGGTTGAGCTGGGATTTCAACCCAGGTAGTCTGGCTCCAAAGATATAATGATCACTATGATATATTCTCTCCCATAAGATGAGAACCTCAAATTTTAGTTTGTGGGACTATCCTGGAATTCTTTATATAAAGTGGTAACTTTTTAAATTCTTTAAATTCTTTCTCTAAATAGTTCTTTCCATGTGGCAGAGTCTACCACATTTAGTTGGGGGGAGGAGGGTAAGGGAAGTATATTATGTAGAAAGAGAGCTTTGTATGTTCCCATTCTGGGTGTTTCTTTTCTTTTCTTTCTTTCTTTTTTTTTTTAGAGACAGAGTCTTGCTTTGTCGCCCTCAGTAGAGTGTTGTGGCATCACAGCTCACAGCAACCTCCAGCTTTTGGGCTTAGGTGATTCTCTTGCCTCAGCCTCCTGAGTAGCTGGGACTACAGGCACCTGCCACAACGCCTGGCTATTTTTTTGTTGCAGTTTTCCCGGGGTCGGGTTTGAACCCACCACCCTTGGTATATGGGGCCGGCGCCCTACTCACTGAGCCAGAGGTGCTGCCCTGATTTTCTTTTCATAAGAACATAAAACTATATTTCTCCAGGCTCCTCCACGAGCTGCCTATGCTGACTTCTGAGGACACTGCAGCTCTATGGTAGAGGGTCCCCTTCTTTAACTGACTTTGCCTCTAAGCCAAGAGGTTCAGGTTGCATTTCAGGTACAGACTTCGACTCCAGTACAAGCTTCTTGTTCAAAAGATACTGCTAGAGAGCATGAAAATAAAAAACATTAAAAATAAAATGAACAAATATAAGCTGATAATTTGAATTATTTATTGCTTATAAAAATAGCCTTTATTAGGAAACATCAAAACAGTCCATCTTTTCACCTCTCCACTGACCCACCCAGCACCAAGCACAAATCCCTAATGCAGATTCACTTGTGCACAAACTAGAGCACCTAAAACAGTGTTAGGCATGGGTATTTGTTGAATGAATATAAATATTTGCTGAATAAAGGAGTAGAAGTTGCAGATAGGAAGTAAGATGTTCCTTGTTTAGAAGACTGTCAGAAATTAGGAACAAATACTGATAGCCACTGAGATCTTTATGCATGGTATGCTTTTACATGTAATTTAATCTTTAAAACAGTCTTTTGAGGTAAAGAAATACTTACAATTCCCTTTTTTTCTCCAACAAATTTAAGTGCTTATCTTTGGGAATACAAAATGAATAAGAAATAGTCCCTATTCTTGAGATGCTAAAATTACAAAGGGAAACATAATTCTAATGCAGTATGGTTAATTCAGATAAAAGAACATACATAGAGTGTTAGAGGAGAAGGGAGAACACCTTTCCCAATGGAGAGAAGGGAAGATAAGGAGAACTAAGGCTAACAAAAGTATCTCATTTGCCCAAAGTTACATGAGAGGTACATAAACTTAGCTTTAGCTGCAAAGATTATTTTGGAGTGAGCTTTTCCACTAGATTTTAGTTCTGTTAAGTTTTTATTCAAAAGGATCAAAACTTTTAAAATAAGGATCATATTGAGAATAGCTAAGTGATCTGATGAAAAGCAAACCTAAAAGCCTGTTTTAATTCTGATCTGGAGGTGGATCTTGGGTGAGAGTCTGCCTGCTAAGAGACCGGGAGCATCCTAGCTTCTTATCTTATCCAATGTCCTGTTTCTTCCCCTCCTCCGCTGCCCCAACTACAGTTTCTGTTCAGCTCAGTCCTCTTCTTACCCAGTCTTTTGCAATACTGGACTCTGTTTTCTGTTCCCTTTGCTCCAGACATTTTCTCTTCTTGCCTTCTGTGACACTTCACTATCTTTGTTTTCCTTCTACCTCTTCTTTTGGGTATCCTTTGATTGTCTCTATTTCTCAACCAAGGGCTTTCGTGTCAGCTTGATCTCTAGTCTTCCTTTAGGTGATCACATCTCATCTTCAGACTTCAAAAGCCTTTCTATGCCTATGGTAGCAAAATCTGCATCTTCAGCTCTGACCTCTCCTTCCACCTCCACTCGGCTGGTAGGCTAGGAGCCTTCTGCTGCCCCTCCTCATCTGCTGTGTACCTTTGTCTAACCTGATGAGAGCTGTGTGCACTGTAATACATCAAATCAGGATCTACTTGAGTTCAGAAGCAGGAGGCACATACAGGAGATCACAGAGAAAGAGGATGGGAGCAGTGTATCTATTCCAAGGCTCCCTTTCTGTGGGGTCCTCTGGGTTCATGACCCCAAATCAGAGTTCGCAGCTCTTGGCAGTAGGCCTGCTCTGAACAGCTGTTCTAACTTTAGGTGCTGGTAACTGCCCCCTCCATCCACCCCTTGAGGCTTGGATTATGGAGCCTGTCCCAGGTGCTGCACTCTCCCTATGGTTCCCCTACACTGCCCATGCTTCTATAAATAGTACCTTCATTAAACTTCCTCAAGTCATGCTAATTTGAACTTATGGACTGTGTTCTGCTGTGATCTTAATTCGTATCACTTCAGTAATCTCAAATTTAAGCGAATCCAAGTAAATCTTTGATTTTCCCCCTTTTTCTCCAACCTCCAATCTGTTCCTTCCCCAGTCTTGTTCATCTGGGTAAATATGCTACCATTAACCTGCTCGAGCTAAGACCTTAGGGCATATACATGATTCTTTTTTTCTTTCATTTCCCCAAATGATCAGTCAGTCATATTGATTCTATCTCAGATCTGACCACTTTTCACCAACTCCACTACCACCACCCTGGTTCAGACCACTGTTGGCCTCTGTCCTAGAATTGCTAATGGGTTTTGTAGCTTCACCTATTCCTTATGATCCATTCTCCACATGGAAGCCAGAATAATCCTTTTAAAAATCGTCTCAAATACGAATACATTTTTTTAAACACATGCCAGGAGTATGTGTTTAAAATCCTCCATTATCTTCTTGTGGCACTTAAATTTAAGTCCAAATCCCTTACTGTGACCTACCTGGTCCTACACACATTGAGTCTCACTGCTTTCATGGCTCATCTTGTTTTTCTGAAACATTCTTCCCTTGGATATTATCACAGCTAGTTTCTTCTCTTTCTGTAGCTGTCCAATGTCTCTTTCAGACACTTTCTTTAACCACCCAATCTAAAGTAGCCCTCACCCTCACTTTATCATGTTGCTCTGTTTTGTTTAAATTTTTCATGGTTATTCCTATCTGAAAAAAAAAATCTTGTTTGTTTGTCTATCTATTGGTCTCCACTGACTGCAGTGTAAGCAGAGACCTTGTCAACCTTGTTAACATCATCCTGATGACCTAGAACAGTGCTGGTAGATAGCAGATTCTCAAAAAGTATGTGTTGATTTTGAGTAAGAAAATCTCTTACTCTCCCCAAATGTTAGGCTAATTCAGGCCCTGTAGGCTATAAAGATACCAAGAGCTCAACTTGAGCTAAAATGATGGGAAAATAGAAAAGGAAGGATGAGAAGCAGTGATTTTCATATGGTGGAAAGAGCCCTGATTCTAACTCTGCCTCTCTTCCTCTCGCTTGGTTGTGGGAAAGTTACTTATCCTCTCTCTTCTCTAAGCTGCAATAGAAGCAGGTGGCAATTGATGATTTCTAAGTTCTTGTTTAACATGTTCTGATTCTACACCAGTTAACACTGATCAACAAGGATTAGCACATGCTTTTTCACACCCTGTTGTATGAGAGACATATAACAAGTGTATTTAGAGTGGCACTTCATCTTTTTTACTGTCTTCTGTCCAAACAATATATATCAACGTGCCATCCTTTAAGACTGGAGAGATTTATGAATCTTTGGCCTGATTCATTTACAGAGCACCTATAATACATGATTTTGGTTGATGGTCAGAACAATTAATGTGAAGTAAGCAAATCAGGTGTTTCCTTTCCAATGAGGAAATAGAGATGTGTTCAAGATCACTGTGCTGGTCTGGCCCAATACCAGGGCTACCACCCACTGGTGGTGCTCTGCCCTCCACTGCATCATGTCATTTGCAACTGATGATTATGGTAGACTGTCTTTAACCAGTAGTAGTAGCATTCCAGAAATGTCTAAGAACCTTTCTTTCATAACATCAGATTGTCTCATCCCCAGGTAAGAGATGTGAGCTCTGTGATGATGGCTACTTTGGAGACCCTCTGGGTAGCAATGGCCCTGTAAGGCTTTGCCGCCCATGCCAGTGCAATGACAACATCGATCCCAATGCAGTTGGAAATTGCAATCGCTTGACAGGAGAATGCCTGAAATGCATCTATAACACTGCTGGTTTCTATTGTGACCGGTGCAAAGATGGATTTTATGGAAATCCCCTGGCTCCCAATCCAGCAGACAAATGCAGAGGTAATCAGCTATTGATCAAATTCTTTTATTCTGAGAATTTATGTGTGTCTCTTTAAATACTTAGGGTTGTTTAGTGCAAACCACTGAACATAATATAAAATTTTTTAGTCACCATATTAAAAACATAAACAGAAATGGTAAAATCAATTCTAATACATTCTACTTAGTCTAATGTATCTAACATACTATCATTTTAACAAGTTATCAGTGAAAAATTATTCATGAAATATGTTCTTTTATCTAAGTCTTCAAAATTCCAAGGTGTAGTTCATATTTGTAGCATATCTCAATTCAGACTAGCCACCCACATTGGCAGTGCCCAATGACCACATATGCCCAGTGGCTACCTTACTGGAACAACACAAGTCTAAAAAGTCTACGGCCTTGGAATTATTTATATTTAGTATCTCTCTCGGGTGACTTGCATCTTTTGCTATCTCTATCTTCCTACCTTAGCCTGTAGTTGCAACCCATATGGGACAGTGAAGCAGCAGAGCCGCTGCAACCCCGTGACTGGGCAATGTGAATGTTTGCCTCACGTGACTGGGCGGGACTGTGGCTCCTGCGACCCTGGATTCTACAACCTGCAGAGTGGGCAAGGCTGCGAGAGGTGAGACATTGGTGCCTTTGGTGGAAGCAGTCTCTGCTTTTTGTATTATAAAAAATGAATTTTTTTTTTTTTTGAGACAGAGTCTCATGCTGTCTCCCTGAGTAGAGTGCTGTGGTGACACAGCTCACAGCCACCCGGCACAACGCCTGGCTATTTTTTGGTTGTAGTTGTCAATGTTGTTTAGTAGGTCTGGGCCGGATTCAAACCCACCAGCTCCAGTGTATGTGGCTAGTGCCCTAGCCGCTCGAGCCACAGGCATTGAGCCATAAGAAATGAATTTTTATAAGTTATGCTTAATTACTTAAGCAAAAATAAAGTTTGACTTTATTCACAAATTGTTTGAATGCCTACTATAGGCAAGGTACCCTTTAGGGGCAATACTAGAGAATTATAGGTAAGCTAATGGAAGATGGGAATGGAGCACAGTGGCCCCTTGTCAGAATCACCTGGGCAGCATTTTAAAAATATTATGAGGTCCTTTCCAAGATAATTAGAAGCAAATCCTCCCGGGTTGTAGTCCGGAAATTCCTGTTTTCAAAGCTCCTAGTCAGTGCCCATATGGTGCCAGGTTGGAGAGCCACTGGTAGCAGTTTGGTTAGAAAAAGAGATTGCAAATAGTACTTATGAAAATTATTGGAACCTCAGGGGCTTGATAACCCTTTACATAACAGTTTTCTGTACATACTACATCAGTGCTGTGCTGAAAAAAAAGTTTTGCTTCGAGTCTCTTTTTCATATCTGAGAAATGCCCTGTGTTCATTTTCAGGTGTGACTGCCATGCTTTGGGTTCCACTGATGGGCAGTGTGACATTCGCACTGGCCAGTGTGAGTGCCAGCCTGGAATCACCGGTCAGCACTGTGAACGCTGTGAGGTCAACCACTTTGGGTTTGGACCGGAAGGCTGCAAACGTAAGGGGTTTGGTGGCATACAACTCTTTAAGTTTTCCCTGATTTCACTTAGTCTCCTAAGTCCAGAAAGGACTTGATAGCCTCAGTGTAGCCACCTTACTTATAAGCGGGTCTGTCCCTATGTCATCATAGATGCTTTATTCAATGAATGCTAGTTTTTCCCTAAAACTTTGGCAATCAAGGGCTTCTCTGATTTCTTTGCAACCACCTTATTTGTAGTCTTCATAGTGTTTGGGATACTTCCTTTTTTCAATCTTTTTATTTTTCCAAGGAAAAGTATCCCTTTGATTACTGAGCTTTCCCATTGTGCTTAATGAAACTTTTTTATTGATCACATTCTTAGTGCAGATAATGAAACAGTGAAGGATTCTGTTCACCATGTGTTTGTTGACTTACTGGCTGCAGTTGCTTCCCACCCTTGAGACCCTTTTGATACGGTTACATATAAACATCTGCTTCTCCTTGGCATAAACAAGTGCCTCAAATTAAGCTTCGGAACAGATTGGATTTTTGCTTTCTGAATTCCTTCATTTCTCCTGTAGAATGTAGCATAAATCATTGGCTCAGTTCAGAGAAAAAAAATGAGTAAATGAACTATAAAATAATGCAAAAGAACCATTAGTATTTGGGTTTTGTAGTTCCGTAGAGAAATATACAGTGGAGAGATGAAGGTAACTTCTGTAATTACCAAGTAACATTAGATGTGCCTCAGAGGATGCACATTTTACTTTAAAGCTTATTTTTACTTTAAAATGTCTGTTTTCTCTGCTAAACAGACGTAATCATTTAAAATGTCATAAAAGGCCTATTTTTCAAAAAAAAAAAGTGTACTTAAAATAACAGTGTAGTCAACTTACATCCAAGTTGAAATAAAATTCACTCTTCCTTCTTTTGCTTACTATGTGTTATTTTCCCCTTATTCTGCAGCCTGTGACTGCCATCCTGAGGGGTCTCTTTCACTCCAGTGCAAAGGTGATGGTCGCTGTGAATGCAGAGAAGGCTTTGTGGGCCATCGCTGTGACCAATGTGAAGAGAACTATTTCTACAATCGGTCTTGGCCTGGCTGCCAGGAATGCCCGGCTTGTTACCGGTTGGTAAAAGATAAGGTAATCTGTCAGCAGTGCATGCTTGCTTTCATTCAGCAAACTTTGAATGGAGACTTACTGTGCACTAAGCTCTAGAGGAAAAATGGCCAACAACATAGATGTGGGCACTCAGTAAAAAGTGAATATGTAAACAAAAGAAATACTGAGATAAGTGCCAGACAGAGTAGAAATGAAGACTAACTGGAGGGAACTGCTTTATAGAAGGCTTCTCTTGGCTTGCCGCCCATAACTCAGTGAGTAGGGTGCCAGCCACATGCACTGAGGCTGGTAGGTTTGAGCCCAGCCCAGGCCTGCTAAACAACAGTGACAACTGCAACCAAAAAAATAGCTGGGTTTTGTGGCGGGGGCCTGTAGTCTCAGCTACTCGGGAGGCTGAGGCAAGGGAATTGCTTAAGCCCAAAGAGTTTGAGGTTGCTGTGAGCTGTGATGCCACAGCACTCTACCAAGGGTGACATAGTGAGACTCTGTCTCAAAAAAAAAAAAAGAAAAAGAAGGCCTCTCTTAGGGAATTCATTTAAGATGAGATCCTAAGGATAAGAAAGAGTGGGCCAGGTGAAAAGTAATGGCACATTGTTCCAGTCAGAAGGAACATGGTATACAGAGGTCTGTAAGCTGGGCAGTAATGGGAGCCTGCTGAGTGAGGAGGCATGTGGTTTGTGGTAAAACTGGAGAGGTTGGTAGGGACAGGTTATATTAGGGCCATGTTGACATAGTAAGAGTATAGATTTTATTCTAAATCTAATGGAGATGCTTTGAAGAAACTCTTAAAAGCTAAGAAGTTCAGTTTATATTTTAATAGAAGCACTCTGCTATGTGAAGAATGATGGTTAGCAATAGGGCAGGAGGGGAAGGCACGATTGGGTTGGATAAACATGCATGTTCGGGGCATGCCAGAGAAAGAGAAAAATCAAGGATGAGTCTTGGGTTTTTTGCTAAGGTAGCTGGAGGCCTTACTGAGATGGAGATTATTCAGAGAGGACCCAAGAGGTATGATTCTGGATGTTAAGTTTCAGATAGCTATCTGAGGGTTGAGTGGAGGCATCAGGAAGGTAATCTGACACTCAGGGGAGAAGTCAGAGCTCAAGAATCACCAGCTCTTAGTGTTTAAAGTCAAAGGAATGTTCCAAAAGTATTCTTTTGAAGCCAGAGAAATAAAGAAAAACTATTCATGTCATCTAGTCAAAAGTGGACATATATACAGTGCATGGACTTAACATATCATAGAGGGCTCCTATGAGCCTGCAGGGGGGCAGATTGGGTTCTTCCGGAGTGCTTGTGGGTTATATCTTTCCCTTTTCTTCCTTTACAATGTTTAGGTTGCTGATCATCGAGTAAAGCTTCAGGAGTTAGAGAATCTAATGGCAAACCTTGGAACTGGAGAAGAGGTGGTGACAGATCAAGCCTTTGAGGATAGACTGAAGGAGGCAGAGAGGGAGGTTATGGACCTCCTTCGTGAAGCCCAGGATGTCAAAGGTACATTGTGATTGAACAGTGGGAACTTCCATAAGATGGGCCAATTTTCAGAGGTGGTTTCTGATTCAAGGATAATTAGTATGGTTTTATAAAATTCTTCCTCAGTGGTTAAACTGCTCACCGAATATAAATTATTTTAATTTTAATTCAATATTTCAAAAGACAGCCTGTCAACTTTTAATGCTTTATGATATAGTAAGCATAAGGTGATTTTCCAATACATCAAAATCTATTAGATATCAGAATTTCAAGTGTTTTATAAATCTGTTCTAGGACAAGGTGTTTTAAAACAGTTTAAAAAATTTTTAAAGTCATGCATTTTTTTATGTGGTATTTTTAAGTAGAAAATTTGAACTTTGATTTTCTATCATTCTAGTGAATAAGAATTTGTTTAATAAATGGCTTTTTTTCCTTAGAAAGGATTCTCATAGGGAAAATTATGGTTTTTAAGTATTGCCTGAGCAGCTAGCTATTGAATATGTATCACTTGGTGTTTGCAAAAATAAACATTAAAAATTAGTGCCTACTTAGGAATTTTCTAATTAACCAGCAAAAGTGCTGATAACTTTATAGAAAAGTATATGTTTTATATATTATGTCCATTTTTAAGGTCCTTTGCAATTAAATCAGTCTTCTGTACATTATCTACAGAGACTAATGATAAGCAGAGAAGAGGTTAACATTTAGAAAACATTATGTTCATTAACTTTAAAAGAAACAGTTGTTAAAACTTTGAAATGACTCTGGGATGTTGAGATGAGTGGATTGCTGAAGCTCACAAATTTGAGACCAGCCTGAGCAAAAAGCCAGATCCCTATCTTTACTAAAAATAGAAAAACTGAGGCCAGAGGATTGCTTGAGCCTAAGAGTTGGAAGTTTCTATGAGCTATGACGTCATGGCACTCTACCCAGGGCCACAGCTAGAAACTCTGTCTCAAAAACAAAAAACAAAAAAAAATTTTTGAAATGTTGTTTTAAATAATTTATTTGCTTTTTAAATTTTATTTATTTATTTACTTTCTAGGGACAGAGTCTCACTTTGTTGCCTTCAGTAGAGTGCAGTGGCATCACAGCTCACAGCAACCTCCAGCTCTTGGGCTTAGGCAATTCTCTTGCCTCAACCTCCTGAGTAGCTGGGACTACAGGTGCCTGCCACAACTCCTGGACTATTTTTTTTTGTAGCATTTTGGCTGGGGCTGGGTTTAAACCTGCTACCCTTAGTATATGCGGCCGGCGCTCTGCTCACTGAGCCACAGGCAACACCCCATTTGTTTTTTTCAATCACTTAAAAAAAATTTATTTCTTACCCTGAATTAAGCTTTCTTTTAAACTTAGACAAGTCCTTTTCTACACTTACTGTCTGTAGTTCAGTAAGTCCCCAGTTAACATCATGGATAGGTAACTATAACTTCAAGTGAAATGGTGACCATTATGTTGTAGGAACTTAACTTTTGTTTTTATCAGTTAATCTATGTAAATAGGTTTCATTATATACAACAGTACATCATTTTGCTTAAAGTTGTATTTTCCAAGAACCTATCAACAACATTGAAGGGACTACATTGGTCTAAACATCAGTGATGAAAAGACGAAGATGACACTGTTCCTGCTATCCAAGTGCTCACTGTCAGGCTGAAGTTGCTGTTGTTTGGGGGATTTCTATCTCTCAGATAAAAGTGATCGCAGATATAGGTAGTAAATGTGTAGTATTTGGGATAGCAGTGGTCACTTCACTGTTGATTTTATGTATCTGTATCAATTTGGAGTTAAATAAAGAAGTCTTCCTGTCAGGTCAACAAAAAGTAAATACTCATTGTTAATAGCTCTAATATATAGAATTTCAATTTGATAAAAGTTTTGAAGTAGAAAAGGAAGGAAGTGGACATGTCTGGTGTTGGCCAGTTTGTTTGATTTTTATACAAGAGTCTAGAAATTATTCTACTGTATTTCCCCGAAAATAATACCTACCCAAAAAATAAGCCCTAGCAGGATTTCTATGCATTTGTTAAATATAAGCCCTACCCCGATAATAAGACCTAGTGATGGGTGTGGCTATGCAGCCTAAGGAAGACTGGAGTACCTTTTATCTGCCACAGCTCCTTTCTCCAAGCCCTTTGCACTTGCGCTGGTGCGCATGTGGTAACCACATTTGCAGGCATCCTATTGCACACATGCGAATGGCTAGGGGAAAGGAGTTCATGCATCACTAGCTCCAGCCCCACCAAAAAGGTCAGCTCCCCCTGTCAGGTTCCAGAAGAAGATGACTTAACTGTATTTGAATAAATGTAGATTGTTGTATTATACTTAATAAAAATAAGACATTCCGGGCAGCGCCTGTGGCTCAAAGGAGTAGGGCACCAGTCCCATATGCCAGAGGTGGCAGGTTCAAACCCAGCCCCCCAGCCCTGGCCAAAAACTGCAAAAAAAAAAAAAAAAAAAATCCCCTGAAAATAAGCCCTAGTGTGTCTTCTTGAGAAAAAATAAATATAAGACAATGTCTTATTTGGGGGAAAACACAGTATATGGTAAATTTTTTGAAATTGAAAAAGTGAAATGAGAGGTCAGTAGCTTATTTTAACTTTAGATGTTTTGTGTTTGTTTGTTTTTTTTATTATATTTTAAGTCTCAAACTTAGATAAAGAAGAGTTTAAAGTTTTCATGTTTACATAAATGAGTGGTTTTTTTTTAAAAGAATGTTTACTTTCTAGTAATAGCTAAATGTGGCAAAATGTGGTATACACATTTTTTTATTAATGCATTCTCTTGAAACAACAGATTCACATCTATCTTGCTATGTACATTAAAGAATTGAATGTGGAGGTTATATTCTTAATAACAATCTTTCCAATTGGGAGATTGGGTTTGGCACACATCTCTGGTGCCTGCACCACCAGCAATGGGAGTAGGCCAAAGGGCAAGAAAGGAAGGTCAGCAGCATTGGCACCTATCTGAGCTCTAAACATCTGGGCACAGCCCCAGCTACAGGCAATTCCCTTAGCCACAATTACTACTTACTTCGCTTGCCCAAATAGGTGATTCTATTGGATAGAAGCTCTGATAAGAGCCATGACCATCATACCTCCCCTTGAGCCACCTGAAAGATGGGGAGCATATGAGCTGCTCCTTCTGGTAGCTCCAAGAGCATCGTAGTGGGGCTGGGATTAAAATTCATGACCCCTAAAACTGAGTCATGGAGTTGCTGGCCAACCTTTCCTGTATAGATTCAAACTAGCCAAGAATGAAAATGTCTCTGGTAATGATTTAAGACTATCCCTAAGTATTCATTTGTCGTTTAAACTTGTGTTTATTCTGCAAATTTGAAAGGAGATTATATGGTGCAGTTAGGTCTTGCAAGTAGGCCCATGGAATTGGAAAGTATTTAAAGTGAACCAGTTAGATTATCTCTCTCTTTTCAGATAATATTGTTTCTCTAAAGAACTAAACAGAACAATCATATCTATTACATTCTTGAAAGTTTAGAGAAGAAGCTACTATAACTTACATTGTTCTAAACACTTAGGCCTCCTAAAACTCATATAATTTATGACCTTGTTTTACTCTTTATATGGTCTTAAAAATCTTTAGATTATTGATGAATTGCTTAAGTAATCCTCCAAGCAGGACTACTGTGTATAGTTAAGCAAGAAGTGTGTGGTACACCATGTTTGCACATTATGTTTGTGGCCCTGCTTCCAAGTTGCTATTGTCCAAACCTATGTTCATCTTTATTGGTCTTTGTAAGAATGCTTATTATCTTTTTTACATTCCTTGGAATATTTAGACCCCAACACTGGGGATCATGCTAAAATAAGAACTGGTCATTTTTGAATGGGATTTATTTAATAGATTAATAACCCCATTATGCATGCGAGTTTTAATAATGTCAGGCTTATATTCGCATGGGTTTATATTATCTTTTGATTTATTAGGATCCAAGTAAGTGGTTTAAGTTGAATGGACATAATTAGTAAAGAATAATTTGAAGAGGCTCGGCGCCTGTGGCTCAAGCGGCTAAGGCGCCAGCCACATACACCTAAGCTGGCGGGTTCGAATCCCCAGCCCGGCCCGCCAAACAACAATGATGGCTGCAACCAAAAAATGGCCGAGCGTTGTGGCGGGTGCCTGTAGTCCCAGCTACTTGGGAGGCTGAGGCAGGAGACTCGCTTGAGCCCAGGAGTTGAAGGTTGCTGTGAGCGTGATGCCATGGCACTCTACCCAGGGGGATAGCTTGAGGCTCCGTCTCAAAAAAAAAAAAAAGAATAATTTGAAGAACTGTTCAAAAGTAGAGGTCAATTTGGAAGGAGTTACATGGATATGCTGAGGCATGGGAATAGCAGCAAGAATCCTTTTAGTTTAAAATACAAAATGAGTTTAATTTGCTGTACTTTAACATCTGTTTTGAACCTAGTTTTTTCTAGGTTTTGAAAAATGTTCAGCTGTCAGGCTAACAGCATTTTTTTGTTGCTTTTTGGAGACAGGGTCTCTATTGCCCAGATTAGAGTACAGTGGCATCATCATAGCTTAGTGCAACCTCAAGCTCTTGGACTCAAGCAATCCTCCTACCTCAGCCAAGTAGCTGGGTATATAGGCATGAAACTCCATGCCCAAATAATTTTTCTCTTTTTTTGTAGAGAGAGGGTACTCTCTCTACAGCCTTCTGTTGCTCAGGCTGCTCTCATCTCTTGGCCTCAAGCAGTCCCCCCACCTCATCCCAAAGTGCTAGGATCACAAGCATGAGCCACAACACCCAGCTGTGGCAGCATTTTTCATGTCATATATTTATGATTATATGCTGGAATATCAAAGTCAATCTTTCTTCCATCAAACATTTGTCAACCACTGTATAAGAACTGATGATACAGTGATAACTAAGAAAGAGAACCTCACAGTCAAGTGGGACAGACAGGCACATGACTAGAGAACAGTGGGGCTGTAACAGTGAACGTCCTGCTAGGCAGGGAAAGAGTGACTAGCTCGACCATGGGCTCAGGGGAAATGTGTCAGGAAGAAGCTGTGTTTGGAAGAACAAAGGAATGTAGTGCCTCAGATTTCTTGTGAAACCTCATGTCCCTTTCAAATAATTTACAGACTTTTTCTGTAATACTGTTTCAGATGTAGACCAAAACCTGATGGATCGTCTCCAGAGAGTGAACAACACTCTGTCCAGCCAAATTAGCCGTTTACAGAATATCCGAAATACCATTGAAGAGACTGGAAACTTGGCTGAACAAGCACGTGCCCGAGTTGAAAACACAGAGCAGTTGATTGAAATTGCATCCAGAGAACTTGAGAAAGCCAGAGTCGCTGCTGCCAATGTGGTGAGTGATTGTGAAGGTCTGAGAGGAGTGGGGCCATCTCTGTGTAATTTGTGAAGTCTGATACTGGTGGTAGAGTGCTTCAGCTGCATTGACTCCTTGTGTCTTTTTGTTTTCCCTCAATATGAGTAAGAAAGCCATATTGCTCATGGTTGGCATGAAACAGTTGTCATGAACTGGAAAAAAACTAAGGGATGTCTGAGTTCTTGATCTCTAGCAGTGTGTTCCTTCTATGGTACTATGCAATTTAATCTCCTTTATCCTTTACTGAAAATAGAAATAATCTGCAATCAGGGTACTGATATTAAGTAAAGCTCTCTGAAAATAAGAAGGGCATTCTTTTTGCTCTCTAACACTAATAATAGTTTATTTTTGACACTTGCTTTATTAAATTTGAATAATTCATACTTTGTAGAATAAGTACTTTATTTCTTCTTCAGTCAGTGACTCGGCCAGAGTCTCCAGAGGACCCAAACAACATGACTCTTTTGGCAGAAGAGGCTCGAAAGCTTGCTGAACGGTAACCTCCAGATCCCTGTTAATGGTTTGGTCATAGCTTGCCTTATGGTGTGTGTGTGTTGTATGTCCCATAACCCATAAATACTTTCCGTATAACCCACTTCTGTAAGATTGCTCTCTTTTCTGAAATGTTAATGCCTATATTTACTCTTTTCTTCCTTTTACACTGAAATTACTTTTAAAACTTTTTTTTATAGATTTGGGGTTACCTGTGCAGATTTATTACATGGATGTATTACATAATGATGAAGTCTGGGCTTTTTTGGTAGCACTTACCCAGGGGAAGATGGGAGTAGGGGGGGTGGAATGAGAATTTACATAATGGGTACTATATACTTTGAAATTACAATATTCACTTTGAAGATTAGGTTTGAGTATCTCAAAACTGTAACATTTTTATTTTTTAACTTCAAAGTTTAATAGATTGCTAACAATCTCAGTACAATTTAATTATTTTAAAAATATTTCTACTTGATCTTTTTAACAAAAATACTTAATTTTCAAATCTCAGTAGAAAATATTTACTAACTCACAGTACATTTAAAAATCAGTCAAAGAAAACAGCCTATTTTCATTCTTGATTTTATTTTAAGACTTTTTTTATTAAGTGTAAAGTCATTTCTTTAGAAGACTTTTAAATTGTAGAGGGCATTAAGTTGTAAGGATTTTTTAAAATAAAATTTCTAAAATGTAGGCTCCATGAAGGCAGGTATTTTAGCAATGAATAAAATACAGATATTTTTAAAAGAATACCATAGGTTAAGATTTCACTATGTGTAAAGTATACCTCAGTTTTTTTTATGAAAGGTCCATAAAATCTTAACCTATGGTATTCTTTTAAAAATATCTGTATTTTATTCATTACTAAAGCCCCGGTGCTCAGCATGTAGTAGGTATTTAGCAGGTGTTGAATGTTTTGTAGAATAGTTAGTAGACCTTGTAGATGTAGATACTTCAGTAAGCCTAAAGTGAGGTTAGAATTTTAGCCTCAGTGTCTAGAGCAGTTACATTGGTTTCTTGCTTTAATGTGTGGTCTCTTTCTATTCTGTGTAAATATGAATGTGTGAGCCGTATAATCTAGTTCACAGAACATTCATGGTTTCATAGCTGGATTGTCTTACCAAAAGAAGACGGCTCAACACATCATAGGAAGCTCCCAAGAAAACTAGGTCTCAGACATAAATTCTCATACAAAGATTTTGAATGAATGAATGAATGAAAGTTTATCATACCAAAAAGAATGGACCCATACTACAGTGTGACAGTGTAATATGAAACTTTGGATGTGGAAAAAAACCTTAGCAGTTACCCAGCTAATATCCAGTATTTGGTTGGAGTCCCTCTTGCCATTTGGTGTTGGGTTTCTTTTCCTGCCAGTAGGTTGCATGTGAAAAATCTGAATAGTCAGAGCTGTTCAAAGCTATACAGTCACTGAATTAGACTTACAGATAGTTGTTAATAAAGATTAGGCCTGAAGTTTGTGTTCATGACTGGGTGAATGATTTCTTGCTAGCATACATAGCTTTATGTGTAAATTATTCTTAAATAATTGTATTTTAAAATAGTTTTTCTGAAGAATTATAGACATTTTCCCCTATAAATTTTATACCATTAATTTTCTTGGAAAATACCCTTATCTCAGTTTATAGAATGCTGTTTATAAACTTACCCCCACTGAAATGATAGCAAAATCCCAAATTAATGATGTATTCCAATATTCATAGAACTCTGCCCACATTGGTATACATATATATATATAAAATAAAGTTAAGCATTATTTGAATTTTACTGATTTTCCTTTCGTATGGTTCTATTTCATGGCTTATTTTCACTTTAATTTATACAGCCATAAACAAGAAGCTGATGACATTGTACGAGTGGCAAAGACAGCCAATGATACATCAACTGAGGCATATAATCTGCTTTTGAAGACACTGGCAGGAGAAAATCAAACAGCATTTGAGATTGAAGAGCTTAATAGGAAGTGAGTATGACTTAAAAGTGACCCTCAGCACTTCAGATGTTCTTGAAGTAACACTCGTTCAATGAAGAATTAAATGCTTGTGGATTCAGGGTCTGCATTCATGCAATAAGATTTTCTTTGTTAATATGCTTTTGAAATGGCACAGTAATTAGAGCAGGGGATGTGGAGCCACAGAGATTTTGTTTGATTCAACTACTGTAATCACAAAGAATAGTAGCAGGATTAGCCATGATATTGAAAATTCTGTGTAAATGAACAGTAAAAGAACACACATGGTAAAGTAGAGAAAACACATGAACTTGAGTTACTTGAACTATAAATCTTTAAAGGATGTCTGAAATAAGAAAATAGATAAGCCATACATTATAAAGAGACATAGTGAGATAAAATAGAAGTTTATGCTAAATGTTGTTATTAAAATGAGAGCATTTTAATGTAGCATTTCCTTTGTGGTTTTGAGAATGTTGTCACAGGAAATGATGTAAACTAGATTGAATCTGGTTAACATTAAAATACTGAAAGTAGCTAAGTTGTTCATTCAATCATATTGTTTCTTAGGTATGAACAAGCAAAGAACATCTCACAGGATCTGGAAAAACAAGCTGCCCGAGTACATGAAGAGGCCAAGAGGGCAGGTGATAAAGCTGTGGAAATTTATGCCAGTGTGGCTCAGCTGACCCCTGTGGACTCACAGGCACTGGAGGTAGGGGGCACAGCCTGTATGCACAGCCCCTTCCCCTATACCCCAATCTGGGTCGGAGCCATTCTGGCTGCCCTGCACCTCCCTCCTCTGTCCTCCTGCTAACTCACTAGTAAAGTTACATTCTATTTTATGTACACTAATAAAACTTACCAAAGTAGAGAACCTGATGATTATAAACATTAAATAGCAAAGACTACTTTAATGATAAGCGTATAGTCACTCCTAAATCTTTAATACAAATCTAAATTATTTATTTTAATACACCTAGACCCTTTAACTTCCCATATCTAAGGTGTTAGTTAATTTGATTTTTACCCTAAAAGTTTAGGTCTCTTCAGACACGTACATAAGTGTCTGATTTTGTATATTTGAAATTTGAAAATAGGCAGGACCTAAGAGTGATAAAAAGCAAAAGCAGTGGCAGCTACAGTGTTGGAAAGGTGTGGTAGAGACCAACTGGAAGGGGATAGATAAAGGGAGCTTCTTGGGGCAATGGACTGTTCTGTGTCTTTACTGGAGTGTTGGTGACACAGGAAAATATATTTGTCAAAACTCATCAGATTACATATAAATGCTGTGGATTTCACTATGTGTAAAGTGTACCTCAATTTTTTTCCCAGAAAGGTCCATAAAATCTTAACCTATGGTATTCTTTTAAAAATATCTGTTGAGTATTAAGTGTTACAAAATTTCTAAGCCTACTTTTTTATCAGTTTAATCATGTGATCCTTCTCTTCTGATTTTCTTGTGGGGAAAAAAAAAAACTAGTGATCTTGCCTTTTACAGAATGAAGCAAATAAAATAAAGAAGGAAGCTGAGGATCTGGACCGCCTGATTGACCAGAAGTTAAAAGATTATGAGGACCTCCGGGAAGACATGAGAGAGAAGGAACTTGAAGTAAAGAACCTTCTGGAGAAAGGAAAAATTGAACAGCAGGTTGGTTTGATTTGCAGGTTGCTTTATTGCTTGAGGCAATGTTTGAAACAGGCCAAGTGTAAGCTGTGTCTGTGATGACACCACAGTGGCAGTGGCAGTGGCAGCAGACCACAAAGTGTGCAGAGTAGGTAGGAGCTTCCCTGTGATGCCTGGGCCTAGTGATAACCTTTGAGGAGCCTGGTCTGTGAGGAGAGAGAAGGGGTTTGCTTTGGAAGGTTTGTCCATTGATCTGCCGTGTGTTTGCAGACTGCAGACCAGCTGCTAGCTCGTGCTGATGCTGCCAAGGCTCTTGCTGAAGAAGCTGCTAAAAAGGGAAGAGATACCTTACAAGAAGCCAATGACATTCTCAACAACCTGAATGGTATGAAAGGCTGAGATAATGAGGGTAAATTTGTATGTTTCCTCCAACAGGGTGATTTCCTTTTTAAAATTAAGGCTTTTAACACGCTTATTTCTATAACCCCAGCATCCTACTTTGTTTATGCTGAAGTATTTCAAAGAAAATCCAAAAGCTCATGTCATTTTAGTCTTACATACATACATTCTTCAGTATGAAACCTCCCCTTTCCCCCAAAAGACATTTCCTTATGTTGGAATAACTCAAATAGCCAAGATACCTATTTTGCTAACTTATGTTGGTAAATGAAGATTATCTTTTTTTTCTTTGTGACTGGCATCTGATTTTTTTTTCTTTACCCTGGATAGAAGAGAAATGCTTCCAATTCACTGAGTAGCTCTAGATTCATCTCTGATATGATAGAAGGTCTATAAATATGGAAACTTTGTATTATAATAGTTGACAGTACAGGCTCTGGCATCAGGGCTTGGGTTTGAATCCCTGGTCCAAAGATTATCTAACCTCCTTTATTTTTTAAAAATTTTATGATGTTACAGGGGTACAGATGTTTTGATTACATACATTGCTTTTGTGCTGTTCGGGTCAAAGTTTCAATTTCCAAACAGCACAAAAGTCCCATTTTTAGACCAAGAGTCCAGACAGTCTCTGCCATATGCTTTTGTATCAGTCCCGTTTCCCAGATAGTGTGCATTGTACATGTTAAGTATGAATTTACCCATCCCCTCCAATTGCCTCCCACCAACTTGATTTTTGATGAGTATTATTTCTGTATGTGCATGTACTGTTGATTGATGAGTTCCAGTTTAACAGTGAGTACATATGACGTCTGTTTTTCTGTGTTTTTTTTTTTTGGAGACAGAGCCTCAAGCTGTCTCCCTGGGTAGAGTGCTGTGGCATCACAGCTCACAGCAACCTCCAACTCTTGGGCTCAAGCGAGTCTCCTGCCTCCGCCTCCCAAGTAGCTGGGACCACAGGCGCCCGCCACAACACCAGGCTATTTTTTGGTTGCAGCCATCATTGTTGTTTGGCGGGTCCAGGCTGGATTCCAACCCACCACCTTAGGTGTATGTGGCCGGCACCTTAGCCACTTGAGCCACAGGCGCCGAGCCTGTTTTTCTGTTCTTATGATACTTAGAAGAATGGTCAAGCGATATTAGTTCATCCTTTTTTAATGGCTGAGTAGTACTCCATGGTATATGTATACCACCTCTTTACTCAGTTGTCTCACTTATAAAAGTGATACAGCTTATATCACAGCGAATAAAGCTCTTAAAAAGTGATACAGCTTATATCACAGCGAATAAAGCTCTTAAATCAGTACCTGACACAGTAAACACTAAATAAATTGCAGCTTTTAATAGTGATGAGGGTGATAGTACTGGCATGCTTAGCACTGTGTGTTAAAATACATTTTTCAATATACGTTCATATGAACGTTTTCCAGAAACAGATATACATTCATATGACTGCTCGTGGGCAATCTTCCCTGTGAAGATGTATACTTTGCTCTTTCATGATTCAGCCCATGCTCTGTTTTCATTTTTCTCCCTGATTTTTATTATTCATAAAACAAAATGCAGTTACAGCCCCCTGAGAGGCTCCCTTTTTGCTTGTTGGGAATTTAATTCAAGTGCATGCCTTGAACTTGATTCAGATTTCGATAGACGTGTGAACGATAACAAGACTGCTGCAGAGGAGGCACTGAGGAAGATCCCTGCCATCAACCAGACCATAGCTGAAGCTAACGAAAAGACAAGAGAAGCACAGCTGGCATTGGGCAACGCTGCAGAGGATGCCACAGAGGCCAAGAGGAAGGCTCACGAGGCCGAGAGGATCGCAAGCGCTGTCCAAAAGGTGTGTGCTGTTCTCTTCTCCAGACAGTCTCTGCCATATGCTTCTCTAGTCACTTTCCAATTTCTTTCCAAACTCCCAGAGCCCTTACAGATTTTTTGCTTGACTGTGGTAAAACAGTGTTAAACCATGTTTGTCTTTTTTTTTTCTTAAACTAGGTGTTTAGATACTATAGGTAATCACATTGAAGACAGAATCAATAAAAAAGTCCCTTTAACTCTAAAATTTGTACTGTGTTTCAGTGTGGAGTCTGGGCTATCAGGAGAGAGACTTCATAGGGGTATTGAACCTTTAACCACAAAATATCACTCTTTTTAAATAAACACAATTGTTTGACTGGACAGCTGATGGTTTTTTTCAGTATTATATAGAATGCCTTATCAATCCAACTTACAGACCCCCTTTCAAGCATATGACCATATCTAAGCCCCTCTTATACTTTCTGTAGCTATCACTGCTTGGATTCTTTACATTCGTTTTAATGAATAATTTCTTTAGGTTGGTTTTTTTCTATTTCAAGATCTGTTTATTTAAAGGAGAGATGGTACCAATTCTAAAATTAGGTTTTTGAGAATCACAGAAAATATTTAGTTTCTTTTAGAAGAGTTTGCTTTTGGATAAATTACGTTTTATAAAATACTGAGGATTTTATAAAGGATTGTGGTCCTTTTGTACATCATGGTAAACTGCCAAGAGGAACCAAGCTAGCTTTGAATTTAAAATTATCCAAGCAAAAGTATCTAATCAGTATGATGAAGTAAAAAGTATATGCCATTCAGTGTTTACAACTTGTTGGCAGTGTGACCTAAACTAAAAATGACAATAATAGAACAGGAAGTTTTCAGGATTAAAGAGGATACAAAGGAAAGTGCTTTATAAAATACAAAATGGTGTTATGTTAGGTAATAATATTATTTTTTATTACCATTATTTAGAGCTCAAATAAACGATAATATAAATCATGAATAGTATATATCAAAGTGTTATTCTTTCTGGATTATACTTCTGATCCATTTTACCATCATAAAAGGAGTAAGGGTATATATCAGTAACAGGAAAACTTCTTTTATTAGCACTTATTTTGTTCCTAGAATGCTACCAGTACCAAGGCAGAAGCTGAAAGAACTTATGCAGAAGTTACGGATCTGGATAACGAGGTGAACAGTATGCTGAAGCAGCTACAGGAAGCAGAAAAAGAGCTGAAGAAAAAACAAGATGATGCTGACCAGGATATGATGATGGCAGGGATGGTGAGAGGTTTTGGCATATTTGTGGCAGAAAGTAAAAGGTGTTTAATAAGAAAGACCCCCATCTTGTTGAGATGAGTCTTTCTCATATTGAATTCTGTTTTCCTCACATTTTCTGGTCAAGAATTGGGTTAGTAGCTTACATAGAAGACAAAGAATTTGAGTCTTCTGTCAGATATTTTTCTTGCACAATTGCCCTGTTCAAAGCAACTCTCAGTTAAAAGTAAAACATTGTTTTATACCTTTGAGGTTCTAGGACATATAAAAATACGTATTCATATTTTTGAACAGATAATTCATAAATGGTATAAAATCAAAAAGGAACAAAAGGAGATGCAATTAAAAGTTAATTTCCTTCACTCTTGTTCTTCAAGCACTTAGCTCCTTAGAGGGAAAGATTAGTTTCTTGTATATAAGAAAGTTTTTTGGCTCGGTGCCTGTAGTGGCTAGAGAGCCGGCCATATATACTAGGGCTGCCCGGGCCTGCTAAACAACAATGACGACAACAACAACAAAATAGCCAGGTGCTGTGGTGAGTGCCTATAGTCCCAGCTACTTGGGAGGCTGAGGCAAGAGTCTCTTAAGCCCAAGACTTTGAGGTTGCTGTGAGCTGTGGCACCAATACCATGCTATCACCGAGGGTGACATAGTGAGACTCTGTCTCAAGAAAAAAAAAAAGAAAAGACATTTTTGAAGCTAGCATTGTTTACCACCCCTCTAGAGCATACTACACTTATATCCAGTTTAGTCTTTGGCCATTTGTGATCATGTGTTTACATAATATCATTTATAACAAAGTTGACTTGTAAACGCAAGGTGAAAGAAAGAATTAAGATCCATTTTTCTGTTTTATGCTATATTTTGCTTTAGAAGGACTTTGGTGGAGTCAGAAAGGAAATATTCCAATGTAACAGTCACGGTAATGGCACATTTTCAGTGCAAGGAAGAGGCCCCTTTTTTCACTGCTAAAAACAGTACCCCTTATTGTGGATCATTTTCACCTTAGGATGGAAAGAACAAACACAAAGGCCTGTTAACCTAAGTAAAGAAAACAATCTAGGGAAGTGATAACAGGAAGCAGCCCTGTGCAAACACCTGATATTATTATTTTTTTGTTTGTTTTTTGTTTTGAATTGCCCTCATTTTCTGGGACATGGTATGTCTCAAGTGGAAATTCCCATATAGTAAAAATAGATATTTCTTATATGTGCTGAAGATCTGTGGATTTCATCTTTAATATGGTTATAGAAACATTAGATTTAGAACCTATTGAGAAAGATAAAGATATATTTTTATGTGTTTCAAAAGAGGCACAAAGGTCCATCTTTTATTATTTTTGGTAATTAACTTGTAAGGAAATAAACCATTCTCATATATGCTGTCACATTTGTATTCATATCAATTCTGAAAGGCTAGCATTTGGCCAGGATTATAGTCTGTAATGTGTTATGGTTGCCCTGAAGAGCAGGCTGGGGACACAGATTCAGTGCATAGCATTGGTCTTGGCAGATCTTAGCGAAGTCCCCTCTCTCAGTGCACTGGCGGACACGTCTCTGAAGCTCAAGAACAGCTGTGATTTGAACAGAGATTATTTATTTGTGAAGTGGTTTTGCCTTGGTTTCTTTTTCTTTTTAAAATTCTCACATTGTTTTTGTCCCAAAATGTTTGTATTGTCTCAAGCCAAAACTAGAAAAAATAGTTATGTCGTAGGGAGCTCAAAGCCACTCATTTATATCCTGACTAGATTTATTTGTGAGAGCATCTGTTTTCTGATACTTAGACACTTCCTCTCCCATTGCTGTTTCCTGTGACTCATACACAGTGTATTTGTTCAGGTTTCATGGAATTTCCCCAAAGATACTTACCTTTGGTTGATTTTTAAGTATAAATTATATTGCCTCAATAAAGGAGCTTGAGTATTGGGGAAGGGTTGTTGATGGGTGGTTGTGAGAAGAGAGGAGTTTATAGAAAAGCTACACGTTGATTGTGAAAATTTTCTAAGAATAGGACATTTCTTTAAGTCCCCAAGGGTATTCTGAAAAACATATATTAGTTCTAAAATGTAGTTCCTAAACTTACCATTAAAATATAACTTATTTCTGCTTGATTGATTTTATCTATATCATAAATTTTTTTTTTTTTTGGAGACAGAGCCTCAGGCTGTCCCCCTAGGTAGAGTGCTGTAGCATCACAGCTCACAGGAACCTCACCTCCTGGGCCTTAAGCAAGTCTCCTGCCTCAGCCTCCCAAGTAGCGGGGACCACAGGTGCCCGCCACAACACCCGGCTATTTTTTGGTTGCAGCCATCATTGTTATTTGGTGGGCCGGGCTAGATTCAAACCCGCCACCTTAGGTGTATGTGGCTGGCGCCTTGGCCACTTGAGCCACAGGCACTGAGCCTATCATAAATCTTTATGTATCGTTTAGTAAGAAAGTGAGAAAAGGAGGTAATGCAGGGATCTTTGAAATGCAAATACAATGAGTGTAGCCATACTGACTGTTCATAACCGTAAGGTTTCTTTTGTTTTGTTTTGTTTTTGAGATAGGCTGGAATGCAGTGGCATCATCATAGCTCATTGCAACTTCCAAATCCTGGGCTCAAGTGATCCTCCTACCTCAGCCTCTTGATTAGTTGGGACTACAGGAGCACACTATAACACTGGGCAAATTTTTTCTATTTTTTTAACACAGATAGTGTCTTGCTCTTGCTCAGGATGGTCTCAAAGTCTTGATCTCAAGCAATCTTCCCACCTTGGCCTCTCAGAATGCTAAGATTACAGGCATGAGCCATCACACCTGGCCTTCATAACTCTATATTAAGTTGAAATAGCAACTTCCTCAACGTGAAGATATGCCCCCCCAAAACCAAAAACCAATAGTGAGAGTTTGTAATTTCATGAGTTAGAAAAGGGAAAAGCACCTGGAATTTAGATTTTTGGCTCACTCGGAAAAGTTATTAAAGAAGATGTAAATAATGTAGTCAAAACTATTCATATTATTTATTCTTTTCTATCTGTAGGCTTCACAGGCTGCTCAAGAAGCCGAGATCAATGCCAGAAAGGCCAAAAACACTGTTACCAGCCTCCTAAATGAAATTAATGACCTCTTAGAGCGGCTAGGTGAGTAGCCACAGTCATGTTCATCAGTCTCATGAGTCCTTTGTACTGCGCTTGGGATCTCAGATAGTATTGTTAACTCAAAGGTGGCTTAGTTATGGTCCAGGATCATGGTGTAAGTAAACAGTTTTTTCGTAGCTCATTGCGCTAACGGAGAGTATCTTTAAGGAATTTAAAGTAAAAGATTTCAATGATAGAGTAAAAACACTTACTGTATAACTTCACTGCCTAGGATTCTATCCATTTGCTAACTAAGACAGTCTGATAAAGGGAAGCTTTTATGCCAAAAGAGAGAAAAACCTTATTTCTTCAAGGAAATACAGGCATACCAAAACCTTTTAATCTAGTTTGATAGTAAGCAGGCTTCATTTTAGGACATACTTACTTTTGCCACCAGATTCCATTACAAAGTGACAGTACTCTAGCCAGTAATCTTTGTAGCAAGGTGTTGTATTTTAATTTGGTATCCTTTAAAAACTGGTATGCTTTGTTTTCAAGGGGAAGGAGTATTTATTAAATTTGCCTCAGATTTTAGGAATAATAAGTTTTATGTGCCAGCAGTTGGGTTTAAAATGAAAGTGAGGTGAAAGAGCGAGCTTTTTGTCGAAGAAGGAACTGAACTTAGATTTGGATTAGGATCTTTTGTTCTGTTGCTTATGGGGTGTGCAAACTTGGGGAAATTATTTAACATCCGATAATACTGATGTAAAATGGTCTACTTGATTAAAGTAGAATGTGCATGAAGTATTGTTCATTGTGTCTGCTTTTATTGATTATGGAAGCAGTTTATTTCAAAAGAACTTCTTTTTCTTGCTAAGTTTAAAGTGAGGCTATGCTGAAATTATATCAGCATTTTAACCTTGGCTGTTTTCCATAGGAAAACTTTTAATAAGTGTATAACTCCCGAAAGCAGTATACAGCAGAAGTGACCCCCTAAACCAACTCAGCTTCCTTTGATTCTAAGAGCTAGGGGCTTAAGGTTCTATCTTAGACATTTTTACATCCTTTGATAAAAACTAACATGGATTTCATATATAAACCTAAAAAAGGTATTAAGTATTATCAGATGACATTCAAAACCATACATAAACCTTAAAGTCTAGATAAACATGGTAGCTGTGCTTTTAGAGAATATTCTGCAAAAACCCATTGTGCTAAGGAAAAAGTACCCAGCCCAAATATTAATTATGTGCTCTGATCCATCCCTGATGGCTCGATCAGGGTTTGTGCTTAGTATGCATTATTTGTGCCCTGTATGACACCAGTAACCTGCAAATCCCGTGTGCAGGCCAGTTTTGCATAAAAGCAGCTGCTGGGCTTCTGGAGGTACTTGTGGATTGACATTACAATTTATACTGAAGGCATCTGTTCTCTTCTGTGTACATTCTCACTCTGCAGGGAAACTGGACACAGTGGACCTCAATAAGCTAAATGAGATTGAAGGTACTCTGAGCAAAGCCAAAGATGAAATGAAGGTCAGTGATCTTGACAGGAAAGTGTCTGACCTGGAGAATGAAGCCAGGAAGCAGGAGGCTGCCATCATGGACTATAACCGAGACATCGAGGAGATCATGAAGGACATTCGCAATCTGGAGGACATCAAGAAGACCTTACCATCTGGCTGCTTCAACACCCCGTCCATTGAGAAGCCCTAGCATCTTCAGGGCTGGAAGGCAGCATCCCCCCCAGCAGGGGAGCAATTGTGAGGCCACAGAGTGCCTTGACACAAAGATTACACTTCTCAGACCCCCACTTCTCTGCTGCTCTCCATCACTGTCCTTTTGAACCAGGAAAAGTCACAAAGTTTAAAGAGAAGCAAATTAAACATCCTGAATCGGGAACAAAGGGTTTTATCTAGTAAAGTCTCTCTTCCACTCATGTCACTACCTTACCCACACTTTCCCTTCTGATTTGTATGAGGACATGGCATCCTACGTTATTATGCGGTGGCATAAGCACACCACGTGAGCCCTTGTGTGCCAGGGCAAAACAAGTAGCCCTCCCCTCTTCTTGACACCAGCAGAACCTCCTCAATCTCAGTACTCTTGTTTCTATGAAGGAAAAGTTTGGCTACCGACAGTAGCATTGTGATGGCCAGTATATCCAGTCCATGGATAAAGAAAATGCATCTGCATCTCCTGCCCCTATTCCTTCTAAGCAAAAGGAAGTAAACATGCTGTGCCAAAGGTATTGGTCATTTAGAATGCCAGTAGCAATCCATCAGCTGTTTAACCATTTTAAGTATAGGACATTGAGCCATCCATGGGTAAGGATACAATTATTTATGAAGTCTTCAGGTGAACATGGCTGAAGTAAGCTGAAGATTGTCTCATATATTAATAATTGATTAGGAAGATAAACTTTTTAAAGATCTTTGGGCAGCTGATAAATCTGGATGTGCAGCTTGTACTCACCAATAGTGTCTTTTGATATTTTTACAAATGGAACTTATACAGAAGAAATAGGGATATGATAACCACTGAAGTTTTCTTTTCAAAATCAAATTACTTCTTAGAGCTTTTTTATTAGGTTAGTCTTGGAACTAGTGTTATGTGGCAGAAAACGGTTGGTCCCTAAAATCTCGACAAACAAAAACTAAAGAAAAACAAGCTTCCTGCCCTAGTCTTTGCTAGCAAAGGAATAAAACTTAGATGCAACTTGTACTGTCATTGTCCTGTACATGCATTTTTCTATTGGAGAGAGATGAAACATTTTACCCTTAGCTCCACTTTTCTTCCAGTGTTTCTAGAAATCCTTCAAAGAATCCTACATTGTTTGCCAATTCCTGGTGGCAAAATACTTGCACTCAGTATTTCACACAGCTGCCAATGCCATCTAGTTCCTGCACTTTGTGATTTGAACTCACTCAAAACCTTCCCTCTAAGTCCAGAGGGAAGATCTTTATGTAGGTTTTCTTAGTGGGCTTCTCAACTTGTGATCCTCAGTTCTGTGGTTTTATTTTAAGACCACACTGTCATAGTTCCCTGCCACACACCCCCTTCCTCCTACCAGTCTGCCTTTGAGATTCATATATAGCCTTTAACACTATGCAACTTTGTACTTTGTGGGGGTGGGGGGGAGAAACTATTATCTGACACACTGGTGCTATTAATTATTTCAAATTTATATTTTTGTGTGAATGTTTTTTGTTTTGTTTATCATGATTATAGAGTAAGGAATTTATGTAAATATTCTCGGTCCTATTTCTAGAATGGCACTGTCTGTGCACTGCTTTGCTCAGTTTTTTCTCTTCACTGGCACAATGTCTCTGAATACCTCCTTCCCTCTGAAGCTAGAAGTCTTCAGATTGTATTTGCTCCCCATTGCTTTGCTCTCTGCCTTGTGTTCGCAATCCCTGTATTCTCTAATAACATCAACTTGTTTTTCTCCACACCCAGCCCCTGGGAAGAGGTGACTCAGACCCTCTTCCATGGCAGCCCTGATGACCCTAGACTGCAGCAGGATATTGTTTTCGACGTTCAGAGCAGGAATGTCAGGTGGACAGGATAATGGAGTATTAGGAAAGTTTGCTGAAGAGGATCTTCGGGATCTGCATTTAGGGATCTAGCCAGGAATGAGTGAGAAATGCCCTTTCCAGCAGTTGTGGGAACTGGATGGGTCAGTTTTATAAAGGGTGCATTATTATGGAGCACTGTAAAGACATCAGGAAACACTGCTGCTCACCAGCAGACCAAGAGTGGTGGTGTGACTTAGGCCTGAGGATCCCACTTTCCCATTCCCATCTCCTCGGGCACTCCAGAGTTTGCCACAGCGTTTTGACTTGGCAGACCCCCATGCTTTCACTCTGCTTCTGCCCCAGGCCTCTTCTACTATCACAGGAGGTATGGTTCTCGCCAAGTTTTCACATTGATGTTTCCTAGCTAGTTCCTCTTTTTAAGTGGCCACATCCTAAAGGCATTTTCATCAAGGTTACAGGAAGAAGACTGAAGATCAACTGCCAAGCTGCAAGCTAGTTTGGATCAAGTTCACTCCAAGTTTTGGGTCACATTGGGTTGGTTTGGTTTCTTTTTTCTTTCTCTCACTCTGTCTTGTTGTTTTTCTCCTTCTTGATCTATGTGATATATTTTTAAACAGAATTTTATTTTTAAAATAAAAATTCTTTATAAAGTGATACCTTAATTACACTCCTGCAATATAGCCATTATTTTATTGTGTAGTTTCAGTTATCTGTATTTTATGTAATGAAATAACAGGATGGCTGCTGCAGAATGCTGGGTGACATGGGGAATATATACCGCTATTTTTCCCTGGAATTTTCCCTTTGAGTCCCAAATACGGCCCTTTTACATGTGCCTTCACTTTAGCTGTTTGCCTTAATCTTACAGTCTTGCTTTCCAGGGTGGTTAATAAAATGCAACACTTGGCATTTTTTATGTTTTAAGAAAAACAGTATTTTATTTATAATAAAATCTGAATATTTGTAACCATTTATATTTAGTGTGGCTTGAGTGTGGTACTGGGGATATCAGATGTTTTCAAATGTGTAATGAATGGAAACCTACATATAATATCTTGTTTGGGTGACTTGTTTTCTTGAGAACAATTCAGTACATTTTTTTTAAAACCTTTCTTTCATTGGGATACAGCCAAAAGTTGTAGACTTTTTCTGTAAAGAGTTAGATAGTAATTATTTTAGGTTTTGCAGCCCGTACACCCTCTCAACACAGAAGCAGCCATGGACAATATATCAACAAATGAGTATGGTTATATTCCAGTAAAACTATATAAAAATAGGCCAGGGGTCTGTGGGCTATATAGTTCACCATAGTGTAGTCTAAATACTGAATTAATGACAACTGTGAACTATTTTTAAATTATTTAGGCCTCTGAATTAGAAGATGAGTGTTAGAAGTTTTTTTCCACCTTTGAATACGTGTGGAAGAGCTAAATGAAGCTCTCAAACCTATGATGGAATGAAAAGAAACAAAAGCACCAGCAGGCCAGAAGCAACCAACTGTACCCTACCTGGTCTGGAGGACAGACCCACCTGAAATGTCCTGAGACCAGGTGAGGTGTTCTGGAGCTACAGAGACAGCAGAAAGGCTTTGGTCCTAAAGGCCTTCTCTCTACTCTCCAGTGGCTTGTTTATTGTCCTGGGTCCTTACGGATTCAGTGCCACCTTTCCAATGAACCTGAGCTCTTGGCACTAGACTTCTTCAGAGGAAGCTTTAAGAGGGCACTAGTTACTAGCATTTTGCATACCCTGGTTTTAACCTTTAGCTAGGACTGTTTCCCTCCATATATTGGATCTGATTCAGATACAGACATATCTCCTTTATATAATAGTTACTTTGTCAGAGTAGTGAGTGGAATTTTAAAATTTTGTTCCTATTCCATCAGTTATTTTAGGGACAGAGGCTTCTCAAAAGTTGCTACCAATACAATCTGATTCAAAATATTCCAGAGGTTGACTGCATATAAAATCTACTTAAGTTGGGTGTGGTGGCTCATGCTTGTAATCCTAGCACTCTGGGAGGCTGAGGCTGGTGGATTGCTTGAGCTCAGGAATTCAAAACCAGCCTGAACAAGAGGAAAACCCCATCTCTTAAAAATAGAGGAGGGCATTGTGGTGGGCATCTGTATCCCAGCTACTCAGGAGGCTGAGGCAGGGGGATAATTTGAGCCCTGAGTTTAAGGTTGCTCTGAGTTACAATGCCATGGCACTCTACAGAGGGTGACAAAGTAGACTGTGTATAAAATCTTAAGTCTGAACTCACCAGCTCAACTTTCGTAAAGCTCAAAATGAAACGCCTGAAGACCCTGGCACCCAGGAAGGTCATGGAGTAGAAAGGCAGGTGGTACTTTCATAAAGTGTAGAAGGAAGGATCCAGCCCAGGGATTATCTTTCTCCAGGCCCATAGCTTAAGGAAACAAATGAGAATTATAAATGAAAGATAATTTTACCTGTTTAAGCAGTTTTAAGTAAAGTGAGAATAGAGTGGAAAATAAGAAACTTTGTAATAAGCAATCTGTCAGTGGCTCCACTAGTTCTAGAGAGCAGTGATCAACCATAGTGTCTTACAATTTGTATTTAGAATGAAACTGTAAACAATAGATATCAAATTAAGCTTAAGAAAGGGGAAATACTTAGCAAAAGTTCAGTGAAAAGCCCCAGAGTCCCTGATTTGGAATTCAGATACGAGAAACCTTGTGTCAAACATTATGACACCTCCATGTCTATAACTCCTTTCGGTCTTGAATGTGCTTTATTTCCTCTCTCCAGTACAGTAAAGCCCAAAGTCACAGTGTCACCACCTCTGTTGAAATTGACCATTCCTTCCTGTGTCCACCGCCCCTTCCAGCCATGCACTGAATTTTAAATTAGCCATTGGACATGTGTTTATTGTTCAGGCGTCACTCATCTTTTGCCTCAACTTCCCTCCCACCCACCCACCCCCACATCGAGGTCTACATTATTCAGGTTCACCTCTTCAGGGCAGGAGGCATACAGTAGTCACTCTTGGTTGTTGAATGGTATGAAGGTAATCAGCCTTTCTCATCCACCTGTTCTCCTGTACTTGTTATTCTTTTCCTGCTGTGAAGCAGAGAGGGAGGCTTATAGATAGACTTGTTAATGCACTCTCATCTCCTTCCAACAGCATTCTGCTCCCTTAAACTCCCACCCAAGCATGAATTGGCCTCTTGTTTGCAGGAAGATAAGTGACACCGCTCTCTTGCATCAAATGGTACAGCACATACCACGCACACGGCTGTGAGGTCACCAGGTAGCACAATCTGGTCTTTAAGGCTGGTTTCCCTGGCTCCCAGCCTCACGCATGCCACTCCCATGGCTATACATTTATGTCTGGGTTTTACACCCTTTCTGTAGCCCAAAGTTATAGCATTAGTTCCATTTATTTTTAACTCTTAAAAATGGTCCTAGTACATTACAACCAAATTAGTTGGTATTTGTCCAGTTTGCATGTGTACCTTAGCAAGCTTTGTAATTAACATAGTCCATAAAATTACAGTTTATGAGTAATTCAGTATGGTGTGTATTTAGTTCTATCAAAAGTTGAGCACCAGACCATTGATCAAGAATGTAACCTTCTATGACATCATTGTTCCAATGATGGAGTAAGTCTAAGTCAATTTAAGGGATTCTCCATGAAATGTACCTGGTTATACCTTTGAGGGCAACCCTTCCATCTTAACCCTTTCACCATGGTTAGTAACAAATTTTACTTCAATCTCAGATGAATGCTTTTGGGGCCCATCCCATGAAGGATCCCTGAGATCCTTCATTATCTCGTAACTAGACACAGCCATCAGATTTTGTTCAGTGTTAATTCAGAATTGTTAGTGTTCAGAATTTCTAAAGCCATTCCTGAGTATTGAGTGCTTGTCTTCTAGAACTGTGGCACCCAGTCCTCTGACTTCAGACCAGTGCCAGTCACCTATCAGGAACCGGGCCACATAACAGGAGGTAAATGGCAGACAAGCAAGTGAAGCTTCATCTGTATGTATAGGTTGCTCCCCATGACTGCCATCACTGCCTGCACTCCATCTCCTGTCAGATCAGCAGTGGCATCAGATTCTCATAGAAGCATGAACCCTACTGTAAACTGCATGTGAGGGATCCAGGTTACACGCTCCTAAAGAGAATCTAGTGCCTGATAAGCTTAGGTGGAGATGTAATTAATGCACTTAAATTATCCCCAATCCATCTTCCTGCCATCCTGATTCCTGGAAAAATTGCCTTCCATGAAACTGGCCCATGGTGCCAAAAAAGTTGGGGGCCACTGTTCTAGGATATAGTAACCTAATTTTCCTTACTCTTCTCTCTTAGTGGATCCCAGCCCACTTTTCCCACAGACATTTCTCTCCTCCTGGCTGTGGTCTCTGTTTGCCTTAGTGCAGAGTAAGCACAAGTTCAGCCATGAGCAGAAATGTCTGGGAAGATGTGCTGTCCGAGTGTGGATTACAAGTTTTGGGTTTGCTGAGCTAGCATCCAAGCTAAAGGCTCAGGAGATACAGCTATGATTTTGATGATTATATGTTCTGTGTGGTCAAGGGGGTTCTGTGTTACAACTTGCTGATCCTCCAGGGCTCAGACAGTCTGCTTTCTGTGCTGTGTCAGTTGGGCTGATACAGAGGATCAGACCTGGCCAGAGTGATGAGTTTTGCTGTGTAGATTTCACATAGGCTTTTCTTTTTGAGTTTCTGAAGGATGCAGGAAGGACTTGCACTGTCAATATAGCTTGTATGTTTTAAGACATCTTTATAATTATTTAATTTGCTCCTCATTTAAGGAGAGTCACCATTTGTCCAAGGGTGGGGGAGGGATTCAAAGCATGGTTTTTTGTTCTACTACCTTTACCATTGTTTTATCTCATTGCCTTATTCTCACAATTTTGATTCATTCTAAGAAGGAAATGTTATAAGCTGCCTCAAATCCCTTTTTTAGAGGGAGCAAGGTAAGATTTAAGTATATTAGGACGTGTAATTTCCCAATATTAAGGAACCACTTAGTGACAGAATTATTCTTTGGAACCCAATTGTCCTCTAGCAGATAGGGCTGCCCACCCCTCTCCTGCTGCCCTTGTCTTTCTCTCCCTCTCTGTCCCCCTACTTAGGCTCAGGGATAAGGCACATAAAGCCAGTTTACCTGGATAATTTTGTTTTGTAAAGAATTCATCTAAAATTTAACTCTTTTTGCAATATTTTTGCACCATTTTTAGTTGTGTAGTCCCTTTTTTTTTTAGTAACTTCAATTTGATTTTGTAATTTTCTTCTTTAAGTTCCATTTGTCACAGTATTTTATGAATTATGAAATTATTTTGTATTCTTATAGAAGACCTTTTATTTTTTCTACTTTTAAAAATTTTTTATTTTGAAATAAATTTGCAGAGGAGTTATAAAGATAGTATAGAGAATTCCCACAGACCCTCCACCCACCTTCCCTCAACATTAACATCTGACATAACCATGGCACATTTATCAAAACTAAGAAATTAACATTGGTATAATACTATTAACAGAACTACAGTGTTTCACTTACTTTTAAACTTGATCTTTTCTAAGGCCTCATTTTTAAAGTAATACCACATTTTATAACATAAAATGAGAATATTAAACATTAATATTCAAATTATGGAGCAACAGAAGTATGAAACCCAAAATAATTTATTTTACTTTGATATTATGCTCAAGAATTCCCAGTGTAAACTTACTCATAGTTAATTGCAAAAATGTCATTAAATAACTTAATAAATATCCCTGAAGTTTCAAAAGGAGACTTAAAAATACCCATGTGAATAAACATGTCATTCATAATATTCCATGTATTTGTTATTTGCTAGACATATAAAATTTGCTTAGAAGGATTAAGGTTATAATTTTTTTTGTGATGACATAAACTTAATAGAAGAATTACCATAGTAGTAGAAGAATTCCCAGATTGTTTTTACCTAGATTCCCCTGCTAATATT